AAACAGATAGGACATTACTGTTCAGCCATTCATGGCACTAGATGATTTTTAAAAGTTTCAAAATAACACTCAAATAGCACCTAGGCTCTTTAGCTCAGTTTCTTCATCTATAGAATGAGAATAGAAAATAGTACTTCCTTCAAAAATTAATGTGAAGTTTAAATAAGATAATGGATAGGAAACATTTAGCACAATACTTGGTATAGGGTAAATGGTCAATAAATAGCAGTTGTTTTTTTTTTTGAATTAGCATATTTTCCCAAATCAGTGCAGTATTAATAATGTTTTGAACTATTTGTCATTTCTCATGTCTGATATCCAAGCAGTGTATGTACGCTGATGATGTTATCATAGCAATAAGAATTAGAGAGAAATATTCAAATAGTGGTAATAGGGAATATATGGTTTTTCTCTGTATTAGACCTTCCTGTGAAATCTATCACAATATTCAATATTTAATTAGTGCTAAGGCGTTTCCTTTTAGTGGCTTACTAAATTTTAGTAATAAATATTTTTCTTCAGCTAGTTGTGAAACCAACAACATTCTGAATTGAACATAGACTTTCCCCCATGTTGTGTCCTAATTTATGAACAGTCTAAGAATTTTCTGTTATAAAAAAAAGAAGAATCAAGATAATTATTTTAAGTAATTACAACAATGATTTAAAGGCACAAAATTACTCTTCCTACTTGATATTGGCCCTGAGAAAATACTGTGCTTTCATATGGCCTAGAAATTGTTGTGATACCATCACAAGTGTTTGCCACTGTTATCATCATTATTATTGCTATTATTATAACAGTTTAATGTTCTTATTAGTTTTCCAAGTTTATTCACACACAGAAGTTCTTTATTGCTAAATATTAGACCAAATGACATAGAGAAATAGATGGTGACATCTCTACAGACACTACTGGCAAGACATATTGAAAAGTGGTTGCTCTAGAAGACGCTGCAAGAGACAGAGTAGGTGATGATTCAGAAGGTTTAAAGCAGATTCTTTGTCTTCTTATGTTTTAAGCACAATCACTGGTAGACAGTGTCACCAAGTATTGGTAAAAATTGAATTGCAGTGGTCTTTTAGTTAAAACCCTAAATAATGATAATAATCATCCCCTTCATCTTGGTTATAAGTTAGACTGAGAGACATGAATTAAATTAAATTGAAATCGGAGTATAGATACTTTCAGATACTCTGTCAAACCCAAACAGACAAACAAACAAGCAAAAACTTAAACCAAAAAAGTCTATGATATGTTTTGAGAGAACAAGTCATTTTAAAGATAGCTCCATATACAGAGAGCTACTGGTTGTGTGATAGCCAGATTGGGTAAGTGGTATTCCAACATTGAATAATGACTACATGCGCATTCATCAGTTTGAAAATTGATATCATATGCAAGCAAGTGTAAAGAAAGGAAATGGGAATCTAAATTTTTATTTATTTATTTACATTTGGGATCTTAAAACTTTCTAATACAAATTTAGCTTCCTGGTTTAGCCTTATTATGGAATCATTTATTTCTATTTACAGTGATTTTCATACAGTCTCTTTACTTTCCTTTGAAAATTTCAGTGTTTAACATTTTCACAGTGCTTAATTTAGATCTTAAATTTACCATGTTTATCCTTGTAATTGCTAAAGAAAGTTATTTTCTATCAAAAATAAGAAAATAACAGTAACTAAGACTTATAAAAAAGTATTTTCATAAGGAAATTGATGCTTTTATTTCAAATCTGTTGGAGACTATTACAATAGTATTAGTATATAATTTTAAGTAGAATTAAGTAGTTAATTTAGCAGAGTTAGCTGAATTTGTGAGTCCTTAAACTTAAAGTGATGAAGAAAAACTTTGTCTCCTTAGTATTTAAGTTGTTTTATTCAACAGTCAATAAAAATGAAACCACTTAATTTTTCAGTAAGAGGTGATAGTTCCTCTAAATTATATATATGATCTATATAGGTATAAATTGCGTATGTCTTTTAAAAGCCTAAAGGAAAACAAAGAAACACTTGTAGTTGTTTCATTTGCAAAGTGTGCAGTGTAATTGCTATATTTAAATATTTGAAAACCTCCATATTGCTGTATGAGCATCTGTGACAAGTGGCGCTAGGACTGCCAAATGAGAAAAGTTTCTATATTTAAAATTCAGTTTAGCAAATCGACATTTTCTATTCCCTTTTCTAACGTTCTCTTATTCTGACAGATCACTATTTTAAAACAAAACACAAACCTTTTATTTATTTGACTGTCAGGAAGAATTAAACATGAAAAAGAGACTGTGGCCATCACTTTTCATTAAAACCAGCTGCTCTGGTTTTAAAATGCAAACTAGATCAAAATCAGTACAAACCCTGGGGGTTTAATTTATATACTAAGCGAACCAGCTTGTTTTGAAAGAGTATTTTTTTTTTCAAACTTTGGAGGAAACTTGCACATCTGTCTCATTTGATCTTTTGCTGGCCCTGTCAGCCAGGAAGACCGAGAATTATCTCTACTTTACTGATGAGAAAATTAAGACAGAGCCTTAATTGGCTTATGTAGGCTAGTTAGTGCCAGAAATAGTGTTAGAGTTCAGGCTTCTAACTGGGAATGCCTGTGTCCTAACCATTAGCTCTAGATTCACATTGTTATTCCAGGCCTCTGTCCTGGCCCCAAATTCTAGAATGTAACAGTAGTGTGCTCTATCTGGATCCTGTAGGCTTATGAGAGCCAATTTTGAAATAAGTTTAGAAATTTTGTAAGCTGCGATTTAACCATTGATAGCTTGAAATGGGCCATGCTAGGTATATTTATACCATGGAAATCAGTAAGCACTATGAATCAGGGTTTTCTTTTTCCCCAGAGAATTAGTTTACTTATACACCCATTGAAGAAGGAAAACAAACAACAACAATAAAAACAGAATACAATGATGTAGGATAAATGTAATATAATTTTATAAATGCAGTACTCATCTAGGCCGGGGGGTTGTTATTTCTTTGTTCCTTAATTTAGAAATTTCCTTCTTGGATTGTAATTAGTCTTTGGGTGGTGAACATGATGTAATCTACACAGAGTGAGAAATGTATAACGATATACATCTGAAATTTATATAATGTTATAAACCAGTGTTACTGCAATAAAAAAATTGCTTCTAAGCTGTAAATAAATATGGTCAAGACTATCAGGAAAGTTTGAAGTAAACTTGAGTGTTTTGAGGACCTTTATAATTCTAACCATTCTTTAAGAAGTAGGTCAAGTCCCAGCCCTTCCAACACTTGTGGCATTTGGCATGGCTTTTCCCTTCTCGGAACCTCTAGTGGATTTAGAATAGAGCCACACACATTGGGACTTATTTACTGTGTGTTTCCTATGGATTAGTTTTGTCTCCTTAAGAATACAATAAACTCTTTGAAGAGTGGGACATGGACATCCCTTCCTTCTTTCTTTTTTTGAATAAATGTGTAATGAATACCTGTTCTATGCCTGGTACTCGTCTTACTGCTTGAGGAACAGCAGTCATCAGATAAAAGTCTCTGCCCACAGGGAGCTTATAGTCCAGTGAAGAGTCAGGAATTAGACATGAAAAATTTTAACTCTGGTAAGGACTTTGAAAACTTGCTTACGGTGCTCAGAGTATCTGATCATGGGCTTTTATCGTTCCAGGGAGGTCACTAAAATCTTCCCTGAGGACGTTGTGATTGAACTGAGATCTGGAGAAAGAATTAATTTGAAGTTACCAGAACTTGAATATCATTTCTTTATGTAGGCTTTCTACGCCCTCCCAATCTGAATTAAGTTCCCTTATTATACGTCCCCCGTATCACCTTGAATTTTCCGTTTTTAATAGTAACAACTTTTTTTATGTTTGTTCACTGTGTCCTTTTTTTCCCCCTATTTGACTGTTGGCCCAAAGCTGGGATGATGTCTGTTTTGGTTCCCTTGGTCATCCCAGTATCTATCCTAGTACCTTACACATAGGAGTCACTCAGTCATTGTTGATGCTTCTACCCGCTTTGCTTCTGTCTCATAATAAATCTGGCATATGTCCTACTTACCTCTCAGTTATTGAAAAGATCTAGGAATGCAATGTATATGAAAGTCAGAAGAATAAGACATGATCCAAAATAGGTTAGTGCTGCAGACCCCAGGGAGAACCAAATATCCAGGAGTGAATAGAAATGAGTGAGGTGTCGCAGTGCTGTCTAGGAGAAAAAAGAGAGAAAAGCCCATTGGGTTTGGTATTAAGGACGTGTTGCTTATTCTTATTCATCTTGTTTGAAGGAAATTGTTCAATTAGTGAAACAGATTAAAAATGGTTTCTGAAGTTAAATATCTGGTGTTAATTTTAACAATTATTTTCTTGTGAAAAGTAAAAAGAATGTGTGAATGAATACCTTCTTGAAAAAATGGTTATCCAAGTGTGTATGTATAAGATGTTGTCAAATGTGCTTTGAAGAAAGAAAGGAAGAAACGAAGGAAGGAAAAAACAAAAGAAAACTAGATACAGGAGAAAAGGCTGGAAGAAACTGACAGGACTGTTACGTGACTCTTCAACTGATAAGCTCTGGGCAATAGTTTTCCATTTGTGCTTTTCTGTATTTTGTACTTTTCTGTGTTTCTCAGGTTTTTAATTTAATGAGCTTGTATTACTTGTATAATGAAAGTATAAACAAAGTAACATCTCTTAAAACTGGCAATTGATTATGAGTTTGGACAGAATATAGAATTATCTCGATGTACTTAGAGGATTCAAAACTATATTTTAGGTTTTTCTTTTACTCGCCTAAATTTGCTTGCAATTTTAGTATATTAATGTTAAATGCCAATTAGATTTTCATTTCTATGTCTATCTGGACTTCTGGTACCTGAGCAATTTGAGGGTGGAGATCATCCTCTGTATTTCTAGCGTCACCCTGGCAGTGACACACATTGGTTGAATGAGTAACTTTTAAAACTGGGATGTCTCCCAGTCAACTTATGTTGCTTCAGTCTCTATACCTTTTCTTTTTCAGAACCTGGGAGTGAAAGCCACAATGAATGGTCATATTTCTAATCATCCTGGTGGTTTCGGAATGTATCCATCCCAAATGAAGTAAGTTGGAAGGTTTATATTTGTTGTTTTTTTGGATTTGATTTGGTGGTTTTAATTGTTTTGTATTTTTAATGAAAACATTAGCTTCATTTCTTTATGTAGTTCATTTCTCATTAATATATAATTTCTTTGCAACACTAAGCTGTGTCTGGTGAGAAAAAGATGGTTATGTAACATCAACTCTGATGATAATGATCTAGTAGAAGACATTTCATTCTGGTGTTTTACGTATTATTGCTTTCCACAGTGAAATATATACCCCGCTTCAGAGCTTTCAGTTTCTGTGGAACATTCTGTTATTCTTGTTCATAAAATATTAATATTGGCATTTGATGAGAGTTAAATGCCATCTAGTACAGTCAATCAAGATATTTACCATGTGTAAAAAAAAAAAAAAAAAAAAAAAGACCAGGAAAATAAAACCATCCCTGTGGCTCCAGGTATAACTTGAAATCACAACCCTGAGTTAAGTGGCCATTGCCTTATATATTGTGGTTAATATTTTTGTTATTTTATATTAGCCATTGTGGCATATAGTTCGCTCATCATTTTTCAGAATCAAGTTACTTACATTGTAAAGAGTTATGTACACTTCACCTTTTCTCTTTACAAAGGTTATTGCAAATCTCTTTAGCGTTGGTCAGTAAGAGACACCAGGAGAATATGTCAGGTGCCATTTTTATCTTGGCCATCAGTTATTCAAGCTAGAAAGTTTGGCCATAGCCTCAGTATTTTTCTTTTTTCTTACAACAGCTATCCATGTAATCACGACTTTATAACAATTTCATCTATTAGATAACTCTTGTTTCTATCCCCTCCTTCTATTCTTTCTCTTTTAGCTCTGTGACCTTTATCTTCTGCTAGAATTTTTGCAGCACTTTTCTATCTGGCACCTTGCCATTAGTTCCTGGATTATCTTCTTTAAAAGGTTTTTGATCATGTCACTTACCTGTGTAAAAAATTTACCATATCTAGAGAATAAAAATTTAATTCTTAAGCCTTCTGTTTGCTTTCTCTGCTTCTTGGACCATTCGTCTCATCTAGGTGCATCATATTAGATGCATATTCCCTTAGACACCATCCTAGTTCTTGAGCCACTTCCACATGACTTCTCCTCACTTAATTCTCTGCCTGTCTGTAGAGCTTCTTTCTTTTAGATTCTGCTTAAAAGCCGACTTGATGGTAAAGTCTTCTTGGACATCCTGATAACATTTAGTCCTTCTTTGATCTTACATGTTATATCTATATAGTTTTGCCCAGGTATCACACTCTATTGTAAATATTTTACTTATTTTATTAACAGCACCCTGTCCCCCCTCCCATCCCCCTTTATTCTTCTAGACTTTAGGGCTTGATAAATGTTTACTGAGTAAATTTAAAAAATTCAAGTAATATGTTTATTTCACATAACATATTAGTAACAAGAGGCTAGAAATAGAATGTAGTTGGTCAAATTTAATGATAAAGTGTTATTTTGGTTAACTGCATTTTAGGTATTTCTGGAAATGGTGTCTATTCCATTATAGCTTGAATCATTGAAAACTTTCTATAACTGGATCACCACTCAGAACTCAATTCAGTACAGCAAACTTTAAACTCTTCTAGGATAGTTTGTACCTCATTGAATCTTCTTGGTTACGATCCTGACTTGGCGTTTGAGAGGAGGCTGTGACTTGCACCAACCTCAATCCACCCTGGGGTGGTGCGGCTTGTGTTCTGTTTCTTGACAAGAACTCATTTTGACAAACCCAGTTAGTAGAAACTCAATGCTCTTTTTAAAACACATGGTGATTGTGGTATGTTGGAATTTTTATTTGTAGTTTTGAATTTTTATTGCTTACTTTGGACTTTAACACAGCACAATGACCATTTTTTATTACAGTGGATACGGATCATCAGCTGCCTTTCCCCAGACGGACAGAGAACACAGCTTAAAACCAAGTGCAAAGGCCCTTTATGGTATGTTTGTTTATTTGATGGGGTGTAATTGTATTTCTCATCACTTTTTGACACGTTACATTTTCCACGTCATAGTTTGAATCCATGCCTTGTTTATATTCTTTGGAATGAAGTAGTGATAGATAGATAAGATTGTTTTAAAAAGTTTTTACCAAAGTTACCAAAGCTATGACCTCTCCTTGCTGTCATACAATTTAGAACAATGGATGGAAAGAACTCCTTTTCATGGCACCAATGCCTTAGGTGGATGTTCCCGTCTAACTATTTGATACATTTGTTGATCTTCATGACTGATCGTGTTGATTGTGGGCTGACACTTGACAGGACTTCTTCCTAATAGCTCTTGTACCTTTGGGTAGTGTTATAGTATGACGAACAGCCCTTATACAGTTTCTTTCTGCACTACAGAATAATAAGCAAGCTTTCTCCCTGATCTTTCTCTAACTTCCGCTGTCCTCTCTAGATTGTCTCAGGGATAAATAACATTTTTTAAATTTCAAATATAAAACAGAAGTTATTACTAAAAAGAAATTGAGGACTCCTGAAATATACTACATTATTTAAGAGGGCATTTGTTTTTATGGGGTCTGCATGGTCTTTTGTTATTGTACGTCAATAGAGAATCAGAATAGTATTGTGTTTAAGAACAGAGTCTGGAACCGGACTTCCTGGATTCAAATCCAGTTCTATCATTTATTAGGGGAGGGATCTCAGGAAAATTACTTTACCTGTCTGAACCTCATTTTGCTTATCTGTATAATGGGGGTATCTCATAGGGTTGATTCGAGCATTAAATGAGTTAGTACATGTAAAATGCTTAGAACAGTGCCTGACAAGCAGAAAACACTGTGTATATTTGCTATTATTATTATTGACATTATCATTATCATCTACTATAGGAACCAACATTTTCTAAATTTGGAATTCTTTTCTTTTTCCATTATCTAGATCTACAGTGTCTTGGCTGTGATAAGAATGAACAATTCTAAGGTTTTGTGATTCTTTTTCTGTCTATATATTCAGTGACTAGACTTTAAGTCTCAAATTATGTATTCATAAAATGGATTTTATACCCTACACAGATACGTTTTCTTATGGCCTTGTCAATCTGATTAGTGTTGGTTTCAATTTTCTTGAGTAAAATATTGTGACATTCTTACCATGGCCTAGTAGTTGTGAACTGTAGATCTAGAGAATATATTTAACAAATACTCATTTTGAGATTAATACCTGCTCAGAATAGGGCTAGCAATGTATAGTCCTTGACTTTAAGGGACTTGCAGTCTGGAGAGTGACTTGAAGAAACTGCAAAAGGAAAATTTTTTGGGCAAAAATAATTAATTTCTTGGGGCCAACCCTGTGGTGTAGTGGTTAAGTTCGGCATGCTCTGCCTTGGCGGCCTGGGTTTGTGGGTTCAGATCCCAGGCACAGCCCTACATCACCCATCAGCCGTGCTGTGCCGGCGTCTCACATACAAAAAAGTGGAGGAAGATTGGCACAGATGTTAGCTCAGGGCTAATCTTCCTCAGGAAAAATAAATTAATTTCTTCAGTCTTTCACTTCTAGTGAGATATTTATTAGGTGCTTCTGTGTCCTAGGCCATGATCTTCACAGTCTCTATTTTCATGTCCTTTCATTTATTTCAAAGATGAAGAAGAGGTAGTCGTTGCTCATGCACCGTTTTGGTGAGGCAGACTAGTAAACACATCGTTATAATAAAGAGCTAAATAAGCTTGAATGGCAATGTTTATAAGGAGCAGTGAGGGTGGCCACTTCTATGAGGGCGGGGGAGATAGTCAGGAGGGATTTCCTAGAAGGGTTGAGTCTTGAGCTGAACTCTGAAATGTAAGTTGTGTTCTCCAGGCATTTGGGTGGAAGGAGAGGGCTATAAACAGCAGTATGACCCCTTTTAAACTGGACTGTAAGCTCTGTGAAGGTGGGCCACGTTAGCCTTGTTTACCTGAGGATTCCTAAGCTTAGCACAGTGGCTAATGTACAGTTTATGCTCAGTAAATACTTGTAGATTGAGGATAATGAATTAATGAACTGCAGTTTGGTGTTAAATGGAGGGTGCAAGATGCATTGGGAAATAAAATTATAAAAATAAACCTGGACCACATTAGGAAGAATCGTACTGAAGAATTTGGACATTGTTTACAGGAAATGACTGGCCGTTGAAGTGTTTCATCAGGGGAGTAACAGATCATAGTTGTCTTGGGTCACTCTAGTGGCAGTATTGAGGATGGATTTGATGAGTATGGATGGAGATGGGTGAATCAGAGATCTAAATAATAGCCCTAAGACTTTTGTTAAGAAGAAAGTATTCATCATCTTACAAGTGCCATAGATCCAAAAATCTATTTTCAGAGAGCTAAGAAAGGAACAAGGGATTAAAAAATAGGACTCACCTGCAAATTTTAATGTTTGTTTTGTATTAGCAGCAACTTCATAAAATCATATATCCAAAGACTGGAAATCTTTAGCTTTTCAGCACTAAATTTTTATGTTACCTTTTTTTTACGTATAAAGTAAGCTGAGTTTCCTTTTTAAGGTAAAGTGATTTGTCAAAGTCACATAACTTTAAAAATCTTGATTGTAAGAAAATATGACAATTTTCGGTGGTGTGATGAAAATGAACAGTGTATAGGTAAAAGAGAGACTCTAAGGAGAGGGATAGAAAGGGGCAAATCTGAGAGACATTTATAAGGAAGAAAGAAGACCTAGCAATGTATTGGGCTTAGAAGTAAGAGGGTTTTAAGTTCCTTGAAGTTGCAGATAATGTTTCCTTCCTCTTTCTATCTAGTACTCACTCCTCCCTCCCAACACACTGTACACACACACACACACACACACACACACACATAGTGTCTTCTCTCTAACAAGCTCTCAGTAAATGCCAATGGAGTGAATGGATAGATAGATGAATGACAATGGAAAAATACATTCAGGTTTTGAACTCACCTTTGTAATAAACAAATTTTAGTTGAAATTCTAACTATATTTAGTTAATATTAGGAGTGTTTAACCTCCCCGTCTGCATGGTTTTATCTTTCTTTTTGTAACTAGAAAGTTGGTAAAAGAGAGATTTGTAATGTAGTTTATTTTGTCACAAGGTATGCATTTTCTTTATAATTTGTCTTTTCACAATCATTTAACCAATTGTATAAATCTTTCAGGAATTAATTTGCCTTACGGGTGGTACATGAACTTCTTTGGGAGATGAGGACACTGTTTAGTGCACTGGAACATGTGTTTTACAATATGGCTGCTGTTTTTTATACACCAACCTCAGACTAGATACTGTATCAAGAGTTGCAAGCAGCTTGTCTTTTTCATGAGAACACTTTCCAGGTCCGACATCATAGTGTGCCACCTGGATTGTTTTAGTAACATGTTCAGAGAGGCAGCATGGATTTTGGAGGCCAAGAGATCTGCAGCTGAATCATGGCACTTATACCAAAAGGCTGCCATTTTGAGCAAATGATTTATCCGATTGGTCCCAGTTTTCTCATCTATGAAATAGAAATGAAAATAATACTGTGGTAAGTTTACATGAGCAAATAGAAGTAATGAGTCTCTCCTGGCAGTGGGGAAGGGTATAGGAGAGTCTCTATTTGTCCTGGGGCCTCACATTAATCAAGGCCCTCAAATTTAATATTTTACCTCCAAATGATCTTATACGTTTCATCACAGTGATACTTTGACAAGGAGCAAGTGGTAATCTTCATCCTGTATTTTTAAGCTTATGTTTCAGATATCATTAGAAATATATATTTTTTATAAATCCTGTAAATGTATCACGAACTGCACAATTATGATAATAACTTTACTTTTTTGCATTTGTGTTAATTTATTCAAGAAAAAGTTAAAATATACCGTGGTTAACCCTATTTTGTCATTTTTTTCCTTATTATACAAGAAATTTCAAAACTGGCATGTGAGAAGCTTGGTATCACTAATGTCCCTGACAACATGAACAAACAGGAAATAAACATTAATTTCTTTCTCCTCCACTTATCTCATGATGGTAACATTTCATTTACCTACTGTTATCAAGGAATTGAAAGTTTTATTTTTTTTCCAGCTAGCCTGCTTGTCAAAGCCGTTAAGCACTAAAATTTAAAGTGATTTTTAAGAGAAATACTTATAAGATATGTTAAACATTCCCTTCCAGCAGGGTGTGGCCACTGTCCTCTCATGTCAGTGACTCAGAGGGCCATCGGTGTGCTCACTGGCTTGCATAGTGTGATGTACTCAGAGGTTGCATTCTTTACCTTTACAACAAATTATTCAGAAGCCTGTCCCTTTTGAATGGTGGAGGCTGCTTTTTCCGTGTGGCTGGGTCCCAAGCCTGTTACTTTTCCCTGTTGTTAATATACCTGCTTCTAGCATTGCTTCTGATACATGTGGGCTGAGAAACTAGATAGAAAATCTTGTTAGGAGAGTAAACAGGTTCTGAGTGGGGAATTGAGAGTCTTTCCCGTTAGAGTCTATACATTCAAATGTGCAAATTTTAATGTATGGACATTGTGACATCTCTATTTGCCACCCAGAGGACTTATTTTGTTTCAGTATGGGTTCCTTGCTGTGATATGAATAGACAACTTCCTTGAAAAGTAACTTCCCTTTAAATTGGATATTGCTGAATTTGGAATATGACCATTTACCATAAATAATCAGCTGTTTAAAGTCATCCTTTCTCCAGAAAAACTCTCGTTTCCCAGAATTGTCAGTAATACTTTGTTGTCATTACCAACATTTACAGTAACTTTGAGATTTCTATTGTTGGGAGGCCTAGTAGTGATAGATAAATATGATAGGCACTCTCTCAAGTCTCATTTTAGCCTTAAGTCTGAACTTTTGTGTGATGTTAGCAAGTAGGAAAATCAATTTGTGTTTTTCCTGCTTTTCTTTTTTCTTCTGAGGGAGATACCAGTAAGAATTATGTATAAGTAATCTTTAAACTGTACAGTCAGTTTCTGTGTAATTGATTTTACTATAACCTTCCCTCTATTTTTATGCAGTGCTTGAATCAGCTTTCTCATAGCAATATTCCCGAATAGATATTCACCTATCTTAATAGACATCTATCCCACATATTTTGCTTTTTACACCTGTCTTTCCTTCTCTTTCTGTCCCTCTCTATCTTCTGATCTTGGTTTGGACCTAGTCTCTCTGTTTAATTGTCATAATTGAACCCCAAGTAAACTTTTGCACATTCAAGTAGCACTCAAGAGTTGAAACTCATTTTCTCTTTTCTCCATCCTTATTATTTACAATGTATATTTTACTTGGAGAAAACATTTAAATCTTTTTTTTTTTTTTTTGCAGGGGAAGGTTCGCCCTAAGCTAACATCTATTGACAGTCTTCTTCCTTTTTTCCCCTTAAAGCCTCACTACATAGTTATGAATAGTTCTAAGTTCTTCTGGTTCTTCTATGTGAGCCGCCACCACAGCATGGATACTTATAGATGAGTAGTGTAGTTCTCATCAGGGAACCAAACCCAGGCTGCCGAAGCAGAGCCTAACGAACTTTAACTGCTGGGCCTTAAGGACTGGCTCTAAACCTTTTTTTTTTTTTTTAGGAAAAAGTTTTTTTTTGAAAATTCTTGAGAAGTAAATGGCTCATGATTATCTCTTATCAGGAAGTTGGGCCATGTTAGGGTCAAAGTTCAGCTTCATTGAGTGGGCCAGCGCATGTGGCTCAGAAAGACAGTTTGGCAATTTTCCCACCTTATCTGAAAATTTTAAAGCTGCTTTTCTCCTCATGGGATAAGCTATTGTGACGATCTGTTGAACAGGCCTGTAAAATTAATTCTTGTAGATGGTGCAGTTTTGTAAAAATGACCTTGTTTGTTTTTAAAAACAGTATCTTGGTTCAGACACTGATTTGTCAAACTGTGATTGTAGTTCCGGGATAATGGAAGCTTGTACTTACTGCTCCGCGCTCCATACTGATTCCTAGTGAGTGCTTCTCCTCTGTGGAGATTATACACTAAAATAGGGGGAAAGGAATTCTCCGTGACTGTGGTTAAAAGTTTAAAGTGTAAAGTAATATGAGCTGTAGCCCACTATTTTGTTTAGAGAGAGCAATGCTCAGCAGCTGCTTTTATGTTACATGTTTTCTTTTTATTTGTCAAATCCTTACTTTCTAAGCTACACTTTATTTTCAGAGAGAGAGAAAATAAAGTTTTCTGAATATTAGCTCTTATAAATCTTGCTACATTATGCATAAACAGCAATACAGACAAAAGGGAACTAAGTTTAAATGCTGAGACCTGTGTATTGTTATAGTTGTCGTTGGACTAGTTGAAGAGTTAAGTGAAACCTAACTTATTTTTTATTAAAATAGTAGTTGTAGTTTTAGGTTCACAGCAAAATTGAGGGGAAGGTACAGAGATTTCCCATATAAACCCCCTGCATATGCATAGCCCTCTGCTGTCAGCATCCCCCACCAGATTTGTACATTTGTTATAATTGATGGACCTACATTGATATATCATAGTCACCCAAAGTCCATTGAAACGTGAATTTAAAATTCCTGATCTGGAAGTTGAATATCACTTTTTCCAGCAGCTTATTAACTCATTAATGCTAAAATGATGTGTAAAGGATTTTCGTCATTGGTTACTAAAGTCACCTAATTCTGTTTCTTTGGGTTTGTCTATTCTGGTCTATGAGATAAAAGCTATTAGGAAAAGTAGTAAAACACAACCAGTGGTACTATGATCAAGTAACGTTTCTTACTAGCTCTAATTGGTTCAGATTGAGAGAGACAGAGAAACAGAGACTGAGACTTGCTCTTATATTCGGAGTTGAGCGCCCTGTAAGATGAGAAACCCAAAACTCTACTGCCAGATTTATTCAGTTATTATTTAATACACTGTTTGACCATAATTTACAGTCTTATTTTGGAAAGAAAAATTTTCAACTTAAAGAGAGAACATGTTGGCATTTGCACAAATTTTGGAGCAGTGGTTGTCAACCTTGGCTGCACATTAGAGTTGCCTGGGGAGCCTTTACAAATCCCATTGCCCAAACTGCACCCTCGATTGCTTACTACATTAGAATCTCTAGGGAGTGGGACTCACGCAGTATATTTTAAAGTTCATTGTGCAGCTAAGGTTGAGAGCTGATGTTAGAGAAAGTGGTGAATGTCATTAGAGGCTTTATCTTGAGCATCATTGACACTTTATTTAGGTTTCTCATGCTGTTTTAAGACTTTTGGAGAGATTTTCAGCTTAGGAGCATAATTACTATTTACAACTGTACTTGAGTGAGAGTACATATGATTCTCAAAAAAGAAATGTACTGTAATTGCCTTTTAGGAAGCTTCTTTCAAAATTTCCTCTTAAAATGTTAATATTAACCTTTATTTCTTCATTGACTTAAATCACTGGAACTATTAGTTTATTTATAAATCCATTTTATGACATTTATAAATTTTCAGTCTTTAAAAGGTACCTTCTCATAACATACATTTTCTTTATTGTGTAGCGTTGGAGAGAAAGCAGTTCAGGAATTCCTAAAATGAATTCTAAATTTGGAAATATTAGAAATGGCACCATATTTTCTAGGCAATCAGTGATCAGTTAACATCATACTATTTACAAATACTGTCAAATAGTGTTTTTCTATTTCTCTAAAGTATGTTTCTGTGGGATTGAGAAATTATACATTAGGAAATTTGGTGGAACAAATTCTTACTACTTCATAATGAGAGTCTTGAATTACAAAACATACAGCGTTTTTGACCTTCAACTGTGTTTGCCAATCACTTATCTGAAAGACTCAGTCAAGCATTTGAACATCCTGGGCTTGTCATATCATAGCTGGATACCATGGCAACCAATGCCATTTCTTTTGCTATCCTCAGGTCAGACCACAGGAAACAGATCTCCCGTCATGTTCTGAGTCTACCATTGAGAGTTGTGTTAAAATATGATAAACTAGTGATTCTGAAATAGGGATTATTTCTAACAGTGCTTTTGACAGATATGTCCCTAAGTTATAGATTATATTTCAGAGGTTATAATGATTTTTCCAAGAATAATTATCTATTTGTTAATATCTCACATTGATTAATAATCCTCCACTAATAATCAGAAAAATCATTTTTTTAATATGTAGAGTACAGTCATGTGAGTGAAAGTTTATGTTTTGTCATGTTGGACTAGAAAATTTAAGGTGAAACGAGATCTTTCTTTTTGCTCACATTATTTTGGTAGGACCAGATGGATCATACTTCTTCAGGTCATCATCCAAACAAAAAAAAAAAGGTAGCAGATATTGAATTTTGTAGTGTGTCTGTTTTTATTAAGTAACTTTAATGCTGCAAAAGCAAAAATAGAATATATTGGAATAATATTAGAGTGATGTAATGTAAGGCATATGGATATTTTCATCTAAGACTTAAGGTAAATATAAAGGAAAAGATAATGATTTTCATATGTATTGTGAAGCAAAAATTTATCAAAGCTTTAAAAAAATTCTTTGTGTTAACGTTAAGTCTGTCTTATGTGCTTTATATTTTTGTCTTTGCTTTCATGTTCAAAACTTTTCATCTGCAGTTGTAGGAAGATCTAAAAGTGTCTATATTAACTGGAAGAAACATCTTTATATTTGAAAAAAATTGGACATTAGGAAAGCTAAGGGGTGTGTGTGTGTGTGAATATTAGTACTGTCATGGTCTTGATGTTTGATCTTGTTTAATTTTTTTGTTTTACAGTAAGGGTGCTGAGGCCCAGAGTTAGTGTCTCGCCCAAATTTAGTGCCTTGCTTAGTGACAGAGCCAAAGCTAGAACCAAAATCTGGTTCCTACTTAGAGTTCTTTCTTATCATCAGAGCATTCTGCTTTAGAAAAAATAGGGCAACTGTGAATTTACAAATAAGCAAGTTACTTGATTAGAACGTAACTAATACAAAATATCACCTCTACACATTTTATATTTTATTTTGGTTTTGCAGCATTTTACAAAAGGAAAATAAAGGTTTATTCTTGCTTTTTAAATAGTTTAGTGCAGTAACCTTCTACCTAACTTTCTTATTTTTTCTAACAGCTTGTATCTACAATTCTGAGTATCATATTTGTGTGTTCTGTAGATGTGTGAAAGTCGTTCAAGTTTAATGGCAATCAGTATGATTGAGTCGTGTTTTGAATGTCCTCTAACATTCTCCATAGTTTGGATATTGTAAAAGGAGATATTCCTTGTAGTGTCTGTTATTTTCATAATGTAGTCTAACTCATATAATACAGTATCTATGACAGTATTTGCAATTCTATTTTGTTCCCAGTACATTAAAAGATGAAATTTATAAGCCAGTTTTTATCTTTTTGCCAAACAGTGGGTCCCAGATTAATAAAACCCTTACACTAAATAACTTTTTTTCTTATAACATTAATAATGCTGTTAACCTTTGGGATTCTGAAAATTTATATTAGGTTAAATTGTTCTCGCATATCATTTAAGCTTTCTGGTGGCTTTTTCATTTAATGTGAATAATGAGTGTTTTCAGTTACACCGCACAATGGTGACTTGTCAAGTACTGTATTTTATGAGAGAGAGACTAGTTTTAGAGATGGCCACAAGACGCTGATATGTGAACTTCAGCCCATTAGTGAGTAAATAATGGCTTTTTAACTTCTTTTTCAGAACAAAGGAAGAATTATGCACGGGACAGTGTCAGCAGTGTGTCAGATACATCCCAATACCGTGTTGAAGTAAGATGCTTTGATGTCTGCTAAAATTTCGAATGAACCTAGAAGGACGTAAAAATTAGTAGTAAAATCATAATTGTGTTTTATTTCATTCCTATGGTGTAAATTGTGTTGACCTTTTTCTTTTAGATTTTTGTAAAACTGGGGTGTTAAAGTATCTTGTTAGTCTGGGGTCTGTTTTCATAGAGAAGAAATTAAAATGACTACTCATTCATTATTGTCAGTCTTATTTTGCTTAAAAACAGGACAAAGGCTTCTATTTTGTATTATGGAATCTTCTTGAAAGTAAGCCTTTGACAATTTCAGTATGTGGTTTAGTTTTATCTAAAGTCATTACTAGTTCTGTTTAAACAATGATTTCTTTTTTAGCTTTTTTCCTCCATTATGTTTTAAGATATATCTGCTCTTAACTGGCATCTATTTAGGTGAACTTTGCTTATAATAGCAAATATTTAAATAAGGGAATAATTTTTAAATTGCTCTTATTTTCAGTTTTCTACCTATCTCAAACATACTTAATTAAATTTAAAGTTTTGTTTCAGTAAGTGGTTTCGGTAGAGTGAAAAGTTTGACAGTGCTTACAGACTAATTGCTGTTGCTACTCTGAATTATCAATGTCTTTAATTTTCAAGCGGCCTTGTAGATTGCCTGCTATTGTTCAGCACTTAATCAAAATGGAATAAAATTGGGGGGGTTGATTTTAAGCGAATGATACTTAAAACTGTTTAGAATTTGTTTTTATGTCATGTTTATGTAGTTCAACATGGCTCAGTGTTAAACAGATTTAGATATTTTATGACTCAGGGCATCATTTCCTCTATTCTACAAAATCCTGCTTGACTTTATCATTTCAGTAAAAGAACCATAAAGTTCTAGAGTATTTTGTGTTTTCTCACCTCTCTGCTAGCTGACTTCAATTGGGTAAACGTTGCTTTCTTTTAGAAAACATCTACTAAGGGATTATGTCTATTATAAGCATTTTTCCTTTTTGCCACTCATAAGCACTTGACCACCTTTGTTCTGGACCGGAAAGATGCTATGATAACTGTTGATGATGGAATAAGGAAGCTGAAACTGCTTGATGCCAAGGGCAAAGTATGGACTCAAGACATGATTCTTCAAGTGGATGACAGAGCTGTGAGCCTGATTGATTTAGAATCAAAGGCAAGTTTGTAAAATTTATGCTATTTTATTTTCACGAAAGTTCCATAAATATTTATGTGTACAGTTAGGGTGAAAGTTTGACAAAATATTTCTGTCAATGATTTTAAAGCAAAAATATAATGCTGTGTATACGTTGTGTATTCAAAGTCAGTTTCTTAAACTAGAGACACAGGGATACTTTAACCACAAGTTTTGAGATGGAAGAAGTGAGGAAAAAATACATAATGCTAAAATAAGGCCCAGTGGAACATTAGTCTTTATGACATATTAATTACGTGGTAGGCCAAACCATATCCCAGAGTAGATTAGTAAATTGGGATGGGGGGGTGGGTGTGTGGTGTGTGTGTGTGTGTGTGTGTGTGCGTGCGCATGTGTGTATTGACTTTTCCACACCTTTCTTTCACACGACTACTGGCAGGTAAGATGCTGGAGCTCTTAAAAGAGGCCTTTTCTGATCCCCATCATCTAATAAGCATTTGAGTTGCTAAGATAAAGAAAACCACTGTTATAATCACATAGGAGGATTCTGATAGGAGTCAGGGTAAACTGTGCCCTTTGTTTCATCTCATCCATTATATACTGTGGGAGAATAGCAGCTGAGTGCTTCTCTGATCCTCATGGTTTCAAGTAATTATAGAGAAGGGGTGTTATTTAATTTACTTTTGCAAATAAAGAAAATTCATTATCTCTCTGGTGTGGCTTAGAAATTACATTCTATTTTAATGGAAACTGCATTTCCTGTTTCACCTTTGCTGGGTCCCAGGGGATTGGGACTTAGGATAAATTTATGGGGTGATACATCTGTATGTGTGCTGTCTGTAATAAAAGTTGTTTTTTGTGTACCAGTTATCAAAGATATTGTATTTTGTTTACTTAAAGAAAATCACAGTTTCTCCTATCAATTACATCATGACACTACTCACTGTGTAAGGCCATCAGTGTGAGGATAAGCACCTTAAATATGTCTCATTTAGCACAGAATTCTCATTGTGAACAGAAAATTCATTTGTTTGAGAAGTAATTATCAAACCTGTCAGTATTTTATTCGCATGACTCTATAGGTCAGAGAGTATTCACTTTTATGCTATGAAATATTTTTTTTTTGAGAAAGATTCGCCCTGAACTAACTGCTGCCAATCCTCCTCTTTTTGCTGAGGAAGACTGGCCCTGAGCTAACATCGTGCCCATCTTCCTCTACTTTATACGTGGGATGCCTACCACAGCATGGCTTTTGCCAAGCGGTGCCATGTCCGCACCCGGGATCCAAACCAGCGAACCCCGGGCCGCCGAGAAGCGGAACGTGCGAACTTAACCGCTGCGCCACCAGGCCGGCCCCTATGCTATGAAATATTTTAATCATTTTAAGAATGTATTTGTTAGTGAGATCCTTCTGACTGTGCTGTTTGACATTTTTGACTGGAGTCTCTTTCTGTCTCTCACTCTGTGTGTGTGTGTGTGTGTGTGTGTGTCTGTGTGTCTGTGTGTAATGTGTATATTGTATGTATTTGCTCATATATATATAGTGAATTTTTTTTATCTGAAACATTCATTGAAATAAAAAAGGTACAAATGATATATTATTCCGGCCTAACATTTGTGATCACTGAAGGCAGAAACTAAGAATATGACTATTCAATTTTCAAACAAGAAAAATTCTGACACTACATAGCCAGAGGCAAAAGAACACCATTGAGATGGTCGATAATTTTAGAAAGAGGCCTCAGTTTACTTCTTTTGCTCTTAAAGGCATCATCTCTACTCCATAATCTGAGGAAATCAGTAATGCTAAGTTCAGTATTTCTTCTATTTAAGAACATGACTTCATTCCTCTGCTATATATTTCCAATTTTGTTGCTCTTTTTCCCACCCACCACCTAGCCCAGCCTTGTTTCTCCCCTGCCACCTTGTACCCACTCATCCTCCATAGCTACAGGGTTTACTAGTATTCATTGTCAATGTCATTTGTACACTTCAGACATTATTTTTACTATGCCTAGAGCTCTTTGTGAAGTAGGTTTTATATATACAATAAAAAATAAATCAAGTTATATTTTTACTTTATTTATAGAATGAACTGGAGAATTTTCCTTTAAACACAATCCAGCACTGCCAAGCTGTGATGCATTCCTGTAACTATGACTCAATTCTTGCCCTGGTGTGCAAAGAGCCAACTCAGAACAAGCCAGATCTTCATCTTTTCCAGTGTGATGAGGTCAAGGTAAAAGAATGATGAATTTTCTTTCCCTCTAAGCAGATGTTCTGGCAGCTTTTGGATTATCTACTTCAATCATATGACTAGAAGATTTTTACTTTCTTAGGATTTTGTAAGGAAAACAAATACCTTAGTATCTTCCAGAGGGGATCCAAGTCAGGTAAATAAAGAGGAGATAAATAGAATGGTATAAGAATCAGATGTATTCTGTTTATTTTAAAAAAGGGTATAGATAATATATTAAATTCTTCACTGAGTGACTTGGACTTACAATTAAAAATTGATTCTTTAGAAATCGTGCTTCATGGACAATAAATAACCATGCTATCCTGTTTTATTTGCATTAATCACATAGCATGGATTATTGCAATGAAGCCCCTAGACATTTTTCATGATATCAATTTAAAGTTCACCGTTTAATTGTGTGACTTGAATACTTGCTCAAGACTTGTAATCCCCAAGTGATAATGCGAAAATATTTGACCATAGTTGCCAGTAACAACGTGCTATATCCTGAAGATTTGTATTTCACCGTACACTGTAATTTTTAAATGATTATAATTTGTGGTGCTTTGTTGGACATTAGAAGTTATCTTCAACCTTAAATATGTTTATTTCCTGATTTGATTTCTCTAAAAGGGAAATCACTTTGAGTTGAGTTGATTGTTACTTTACTCAAGCAGTGACATATCACCGTGATTGTGTATTATAAAATTTATAGGTAATTTTTATCATGTAAAGAAATGTTAGGAGATTAGTATAAAGTGTCAGTTGATCTTTTCTATATTTTTCTGACATTGAAATATGATAGATAAGTTAAGGTTGACTATACACAGTGTATTTTATGATTTTCTTCTTATTTCAATTTATGTAATAGATGACTTTCGAAAAATCTTACTTGAAAAGAACTGTGGCATTTAGGTAATCCATATATTTGAAGTTCGTCAGATTTTTTTATAGTGCCTTTTGAAAGTCATATAGTGTATTATGAATTTTGCAAGGTTAGATTTGTTAAATCAGTAAGTATTAGAGTGAATATTTTGCTCTGAAAATATTGTGAAATTTAATTCAGACATTTTAAAAACAGGTGACTAAGCTAAAAGACGTTTTAAATCTGGTGTTTCCCTCAGTGCTCTAAAAGTCCCCCTGGAAACTAAGAGTTACTGTGCTGAGTAAAGTTTCTGGATTTTAGTTTTGAGAATAAAGGGCTTGCTTTATTTCATAGGGGATGGTAATTTTGATGGGTCTGAAACGGATTTACTGAATACTGTTTTGTCCTAATTAAAAGCTCAAGTATCATTCTGCAGCTATATAAGCATTTACGCACTGGCGCCATATTCCACATGAGGCTTTTTTTCCTTGCCCCATTGAAAATATAATGAAATATGATGTGGTTTCTTTTATATGAGTCGTTTTGCAACATCACTTGGGAGTTTTAGTTTCTTTATTATGGGACCTTACACAATGCTCCTGCCCACCTCTGTAGTAAAACTTTTTTTGGAAATATGATAACCCCCCTATAGGAGGTTCAGGGTTCCTAGGCATCTTGAGTTTTAGTATCCCGCATAACAGAAAGCCTTTGGCATGATGTTTGTACTGTCTTCTTAATACCAGGATGTTCTTATGGAAGTAACACTGGACTGGGTTGCAGTAACACTCTCAGTGAACTAGCAGTGTGACCTTGGCCCAGCCATAATATGAGTATTCCTCAGTTTCATTAATTGTAAAACAAAGAGATGAGACTAGATAATCTTTAAGTCTCCTTTCAGCTCTAAAATGTTATATGATTATCTGTACTTAGGGTAAAAGAGTATGCATATATATATTTGATAAAAACATACATAATTACAGAGCACAAACAGGTACAAATATAGAAGATGAATACATCCCAGCAAGAATCTAATATACAGTAATTGTCACTGGCCGTAAATAAACTTCATAACCAAAAGGATAAAATTAGCTGCTAATCTCACATTGGTTCCCAAGAAAATGGAATCAAATGTTCTTGTTGGAAACATATTCGAAAGTTAATCATTTGGAGAAAGTTAATTTTTACCTACAATGACAAAATAAAGTGGTTATCAGAAAGAGTCCAACCTTTTGGGATTCCTCCCATGATTATAGTGGATTTGTCCTAAACTGAGTGATGAGTTTCAGTAGTTTAGCAGATGCCCAGTGGATCTGGGGGATGAGACAGAAGGAAGTGTGCGTGCACGTGCTTCTGATTCCTGCATTTCTTCTCAGGCAGAGAGATTTACCCAGTGATGTTTTCAGCATATACTTATACTTCCAGCATATGCAAATCCTTTTTCTTGTTGCCTTTATGCAAGGACAGCATTTTTTAAACTAAAAGAATCTGGATTAAATAATCTTTAAAAATTCTGTCAGTTTTTAAATCTCATTATAAATTTCACCATTAAAAAATTGTGAGTCATGTCTTGAAACCAGATTTAAAAAAAAACCTTTTGCATCAAGACTCTTATTAGTTCAGACAGGGAACATAAAATCTTTTTTCTGTTTTAACCTACACATCAGGGCAAAAAAATCTATAACCTCCCAGATAACTTGTCTTTCATTGCAGGCAAACTTGATTAGCGAGGATATTGAAAGTGCAATCAGTGACAGTAAAGGAGGGAAGCAGAAGAGGCGGCCTGATGCCCTGAGGTAAAAACAGTAAAAGAAATTAAGGAGTAGAGTTGATATATTATTGTCATTTTTCCTCTAAAAAAATTTTCAATGAAAGTATATTGTTATATTTTATAAGTATATTATTATATTTATTTATCATGTATATATTTTATTACAACCTGTAATCTCAACTTGTTTGCTCTCCCAAGTTGGTCAGTGCATGTGTGCACCTTTTCTCCCCATGTTTCTGATCTCTCTCAGATATGGTTTCTCCCACTCGTGATGTCATAGAGAGGTGTGAAAGATGAGTGGCATTTTAAGGGAAGGTGGCCTAGGGGATGCAAACAGATATGAGGAATATAGTTGGTTCCTAGGCTTTCCAAATCACAGGAGACCCAGAAAAAAATTAAACCTAGTTTTCAGCTGAATTTAAATTTTTCTGTATTTTTGTATTTCACATATATTCATAAATATACATAATATGGAATGGTTAGGAAATTCTTATTTTTCTATTCCTTGATATAGTTCTTCTTGAGGTTGAACAACTAATATCATAAATTTAGAGAATTTATGTGTTATAGAAATAGAGATTAACTAGACTTCCGGTGATCATTTTACGGTATATACAAGTGTTGAATCATTACGTTGTACACCTGAAACTAATATAATGTTATATGTCAATTATACCTCAATAATAGAGGAGAACTAATACCAAAAATTAAGAGCACTGATGTGTTATAGAAATAAGGATAGTAAAAATTCAATTTGTTTTCCTTTTTAAGGATGATTTCCAAAGCAGACCCTGGTATACCACCTCCACCAAGAGCCCCTGCCCCAGTGCCCCCTGGGACTGTGACCCAGGTGGATGTTAGAAGTCGGGTGGCAGCTTGGTCTGCATGGGCAGCTGACCATGGGGACTGTGAGTATTTCTAGGAATTGATTCTTATTGAACATTTACTTTGGGTTGTGACATAGTTCTTGCTTTCAAATTCTGATGCTGATTTCTGAGCTGAAGATTGAGGTCAGTTTTAAAAAAATTAAATCTGATATGCAGGAAAGTTAAGGCTTGGACACAGTAAGATTATTGTCTATGAGAGTTCAAACCAATCCTTAGATAAATATGGTGTTAGGATTAGTTTTTTTTTTAATACAATCAAAGGGAAAGTTTGACTCCACTAACAATTAAAAGGATGGTAATAGAATATATACCAAACGAGAGTCAGTTTTATTTTTTCAAGACTATACTTCAAATTCTTTCCATTGTTATTATCTTACCACTGTCCTCTTTTGTACAAATCAGTTGTGGTTACATGGACAGGATGTCAGGATAGTGGTTGGGCAGTGGAGAAGAGGTGAAAGACACTCTCCATCTGGCTAAACATATCCAGTGGGCCCTATATATGTATCATTTTACCTTGACATTATTTTTTAAAAACAAATTAGTCATGGCATAGAACTTAGTGTAACTTTTTATAGTCAGAATGTTTTACTAAATCTGAAATTTTTATGACTGGAAAATGCCTTAAAATATGTTTGGTTCAATCTCTTCATTTGAAGGGTGAACAAATTGTGATCCAGTGAGTTTGAATTTGATGAAGGCTAGAGCCTCACCCTCTTGTCTCCTAGTTAACGGAGGCTTCTTAAATCTCTTGTCTTTTATCTGATAAAGCATTATTCATATAGGCTACATAGCAGTGTAGCTAATCAGTAGAACTTGATTGCCACAATGAGTGGTATTGGACTGTACTTTGAGTCTGGTGAGTCAAAAGTTGGCCTCCGAAGCAAGACCAGGATCTACCTTTGTGACGTTGGGCAATTGTCTCTCTGTGCTTCAGCCTCACTTGTAAAATGGGGGTAATAATTCAACAGTTGCTATGCATCTGAAAACAAACAATGTCTGTAACAGTACTTAGTACAGTATAGGGAGCATAATTGGTGGTGGTTCTCATTTTTGCCAAATTGAGTTCCTTTTATTTTCTGAATTGCTTTCCATTTTTGTTTAGACTTTTTGTGTCCTTAAAGGTATTTTCAGGGGTTTACATGTAAGCCTAGCTACCAAAAAGATGAAAGAAAGAAATCCTTGAAGCATCCATTTTTCAAAAATAAAGTAACAGAATCATTATTTACTTTAACTTTATAATAGCTTCTGTTTTCAGGAATTATGTAAATTTCTATTGATCCATTTTGTCTGTAAAATTTTATTTGAATATTAATTAGGAGTTTGTAGTGTTTTCTACTTTTTGTGTATATATATATATATATTTTTTTGTTATTGCTGTTGTTTTGGTGGAGGAGACGTGGTCAAAATGGTCTTCCTTGAAGTTGAGGACGGATAAGACTTCTTAAGTTTACGGTCATTCTGAATAGACTTGTAAAGACATCTGTAAAACATAATGTAATTTACAACAAAGAGAAAATCTGTCCCCAGGAGTTTATGAGATCTCATTAGATTTTGTCTAAAATATTCTGTGCAATCTCGTCTATTTAAATTCCAGTGAAATAACAGAACTTCTAAGTTACTACTAGGCCAAACAGAACACAAAACTTACCATGTTAAATTCTGTCGGGATCCAGCTTGTTAGATGGAAAGCCCCCCCCCAAAAGAGTATCTTTCTGGTCCCTTGAAGGATCTGGCTGACTCAGGCTGAGCAGCTCCTTTAAATCCTTGAGGTCGCTGTACCTCTGACTTCCAAAAGTGATCGGTGTGTAGAGTAATGGCAGTGGCAGTGGGGTTCCTAGTAGTGCCACGGACCATGAAAAAGTCTGAGAAATACGCATCCCTCCTCCCCTTGCTCTGAAAATGATATTTTGGGACACATCTGAACTTCGTGGTAGCTATATTTGAAGTTCAACTTACTACTTTCTGTAGTACACTGTAGCCAGGGTAGCAGCTGACCATGTGTAAGATAGCAGCCAACTGGCAAGATTTCATACATGTAATTTTAATTATGTTAAAGTACTTAACAGCCACTAATTACATTTCATAAGACTCAGTGATTTCTTCTTTTCTTTTTTCCCCCCCCTTTTTTGGGCAAATATTCCATTTATGGATAAAGTTAGGCCTTGAGGAGGCATATCATTAGAGTTTTCAATATTTTTCGCAGTTCTCTGTATTGAGCATCAGGAGTTGTGATGTTGTATTATGAGTTGTATTTCCATTAGTGATGGTACACTTCTCCTGTTCCATCCGTATGTGTTTTCTTTCATTTCATCTACTGTGAAATCTTTGTACAACTCTCTGTGTTCAGCGGTGATGTTAACTGATTTCTACCAGGAATGAGTTCATGATAATCACCTCATGATTAACATCATGCGCTAGCCAACTGAGTTAACTTAATGTCTTGAGTGCTCTTAAGACATTTATTCTCTAATTTGCAAATTCCTGTAGGTATTTCTACTTTTAAAGCATATGGCTTCAAATTAATGAGCCCAGCATTATGGGTTTTAGGCTTAATTACAGCTAGAATTTTAAGAAGCACTTTACTGTCAGAACCCCCAAAGCTTTATTGTAATCACGATGTTAGGAGGTATAAAAATTAAGAACTTTGTTGCATTAAAACTTAGTTGGCCACTTTTTAAGGAGTAGGTGCTTAAATGTGGGTTTGTATTTCTTTCTTGTGTAGGAATTAAAGGGTGCTAAGTTAGGGTTGGTTCTCCAGGCAGCTAATGTAGGGAAGAGGGGGAATTAGAGTAAATGGACACCAACGGGTGGGAAGGCCAGTTCTTCAGCTCTGCCCAAGTGCTTCTGTTAGTGGTGGCAAAGACATGTCATAGATGATGAGCACAGTTTTGATTACGTATCCAGTGGAGGTGCTCCCTTTGTAAATAGCACTCTTTTCTGGCCAATTTTCATAATAACCTATATTGGTATCACTTAAGCAACAGGCTGAATGACTTCTGATTATCCTTTCTTTAGTTGAGAAACCAAGGCAGTATCATGAGCATGAAGAAATACCTGAGATTATGATAGCCCGAATTGACAGAGATGTGGTAAGTACAATGCTGGTCTTTAGATCTTTGAGGCTTTTTTTTAAAAAGGAAAAAAACATTCACAGGGAAAATGAAGTTGACTTAGATAATAAAGATGTTTTGTGGAAACTATGTTTTCTCTTTCCAGTGGTGGTTATACCCTTTGGATTATTTTTTTTGTAATTATTTTTACCTTTATGCCAATATTTAATTAGTGGACTTGGGCTGTGATAGAAAAAGTATATTAACTAGTTTGCAAACGAATTTAAACTGAATTATCAGACGTGAGGGGTTTTTCTTTTCTCGTAGTTTGTAATTTATAATAGAAATATCTTTTTAATATGTCTTCCTGGAATTTATTAAAAAATATTTCATAATGCCTAAAAGATAAAAGTTAAATGGCATTTTAAAGCATAAATATATAAGTTTTAATACTTTGTAAAGGATAAGGCTATATTTATTTTTATTTCTCCATAGTAATTTACTTGCAGAGTGACAGGGCCCTGTGATGTAATCGTAAAATATGATGTCATTGTCATTATTTTTTATGCTCTACAAATGTTCTCAGCTTATTCAGAAACAAATTCTTGAGGGAATTTGAAGTTCGAAATTTAATTTTTATATCACACCATTAGTTAATCTAATTAAAAGTTTATTTAATCCTGGTTTCTAGTCTTTAATTAGAAGAATGTCGTGTTTCACACATAATAGAAAAAGTCAACCAAGGCTCTGGTATATAAGATAATCAAAATTGATCCTATGATTCCTGAAAGCATAGTGCATCATTAATTCTATTTTACCATGTAGAAATTCTCATTAATGCCTAGTATTGTAGATTATCTATGTGTTTGTTATGTTATCACAACATTCTGTAATCCCTCAATTCCATGAAATAATATTGTCAGTGCTTTATTGGGACATTTATTAGAAAAACAAAAATGCTCTAATAAAATGTCTCTTTGAATTTTTCCCCCTAACTTTGTGTGGGAAAGCACTATGAGGAAATTAGAGTAATTGAAACTAAAAGATAATCTGAATACATATTGTGAATGCTTTCTTCATGGAATTGAAAATAGAGCAAAATTAAGTTAAAGAAAAATGTAAATGTCAGATTTAGCCACAGGTATATTTAGTTCAATTCTTTTTCTTGGAATTAGTGATAAACTTGAAATTTGTATGTGGGAGTGTTTCTTATGCTTTTTTCCCCAACATTCTGATTTTCCTTTACTGGCTAACAGTGTACAGCCAATGCAAAAATAGGCTTGTTTTGTTTTATATTTATTCTGTAATTTCTAATTCCAGCAAATCTTAAACCACATTTTGGATGACATTGAATTTTTTATCATGAAACTCCAAAAAGCAGCAGAAGCATTTTCTGAGCTTGCTAAAAGGAAGAAAAGTAAGAAAGGTAAAAAGAAAGGACCAGGAGGTAAGTTGGATTTTCTTGATCTTCTCAAGACTCTTCAGAACTCCAGGGCTCGGCAGAGTTTCTGCCCTTGTGAACTGCTCAGTAAAACTCCATTGCCAGGGGACCGAGGTGCCCTTTCTAGTGCTGGGTTAGCACCAGAGATTTAGGTGGAGACTAAGATGGTCCCAGGGACAAGTCCATTCTTGTTCCAAGTTGGCTACAGTAAAGAAAGACTCTAGGATACTTTACCTAAATCACAGAGACTCTGCGATCCAGCTAGTGACCATCTGTCTATACTTATCATTCATGATTGTTAACGTCTCTTAAAGTCAAAGCGGTGTTCTTCTCAGATTTTGATTTATTTTATTGTAAATGTAGAATCTCATTATTTTGTTCAATAAAAGAATTGACTTTTCTCATTAAAATAGTTAAAAATGTCAGGGGATTTGAATTTTTTTACCACAGAACTCCAAACACCATTCAGGTCATCTACAAGCACCTTTTAAGTATGTAGTTGAGCTATTTAAAATGGCCTCAGAATGTATACAATTATAATTATGAACAAAGTGACATAGATTGAAATATATAAAAGAATAGTAAATAAATATTCCTTCCCTTACACGTGACTTCCAAATCTTTCTTTGGCTCATGTCTACATCAGAAGCGTGTGACCTGTAAACTTGTCTTCTAAAAGTGTATATCTGGATAGACCTCACGTCCATTTATCCTGAAATTAAGTATTGTTGCTTCCTGATGTCTCAAACCACTTATTCTTCCTATATTCTTTATGAAAGGTACACTGTCCTGTTGGTCACCCAGATTCAAAACCACAGATTCTTCTATGACTCCATTCACTAGCTGATAGGCAACATTGGTTTATTTTTTCAATCTCTTATATCCAGTTTTTTCCCTTTATATTTTCGTAACCAGCGTCTGCTTCAAGCTTTCATCATTTTTCCCCCAGCGCTCTAAGCAGTCTTCAAGCCTCCAATCTTCTATTCCTCGAGGACAGTAGTCTTAAAACTCTAAACCAGTCACTTCATTTTCCTGCTGAAAAGCATGTTATTTCTATGTTCTATTGATTTAAGCCCACTCCTCACCCTGGCAGTCAAGCTCATCCACAATCTAACCTTAATCTACTTTTCCATTCTCGTGTTTCTCTGCTTTTATGTTTGTTGTTTCATATATATGCAGTTTCCTTTTTCCATGTTTTTGTTTATGCTTCTTTTATCCAGCTATGATGTTTTTCTGACCAAATTGCCCTGGAACAGACTTTTCGAATCCCTTCTTAAAAGCTCATTTCCCCATGAAAGATCTTTTAGGTGTACCTTCCCTCATCTCCCAACCAGATGCAGTCTCTTATAGCGCCTGTCTGATTCATGTCTGCTATTAGATTTTAAGGCCCTCAGGAGCAGGGCTTGTAACTTACACATTTTTCTGGTCTTCAGGATGATAAGCACAGTGGCTGGCACGTAGAAGGGCTACAATATAAATTTATGGAGTTGAGTGAGTAATCAGTGGTGCCTAAGGGTAGAGGAATCCATTTCCAGTGTTGGATCATCTTAATTTGTTACAGTCAGACATGAAATGGTAGCATGGTCATCAAACTTCACAGACATAAATGTGGGTTTTAACTTTTTCGTTTAATAGATTTTCTTGGAACTCTGCTCTCATCTACCCCTCCTCCCATTTATTTCTTTAGAGGGTGTTTTAACTCTGCGGGCAAAACCCCCACCTCCTGATGAATTTGTTGACTGTTTACAAAAGTTTAAACATGGATTTAACCTTCTGGTAAGAGACATTTATTTATATATAATTAAAAGAAACAAATGAAAGAGACAAAAGTCTAGCTAGGATGTTCCTGATTAAATTGAGAGATGGAATTGTCCTTGTAGAGGTTTTGTATGTATGTTCTGATTTGCCTTTAATTAGGACAACAGATTGTAAAACCTGTATGTCTAAGAAACTTGATCAAAAAAGAATGATTCCTAATTTTTTCTTAACCTAAATTCTCCTACTCTGACTCACCCAGGCTGATTTAATATACTAAAAATAAAACTAGTAGTAAAGAACTCTTCCTCTGTGTCTGTGTTGGACCTTTTTGAAGGTCTCTCTTTCGCTCAATAACATCATGATAATGTGTTTGTCTATCTTCTTAATGTTACAGGCCAAATTGAAGCCTCATATCCAGAATCCCAGTGCTTCAGATTTGGTTCACTTTTTATTTACTCCATTAAATATGGTAAGATTGTATTAACTTAAGAAAGTAATTCTCAGTATGTTTTTTCATCCCCAAGTGTCTGTCTGGATTATCTAGAGAGTTTTTCCTCATCACTGTGCGTGGATACTACTTTTCTTGCCGTGTTTGTAAACATTGAGGATGTGAAATTTGAGAATTTAAAAGAACCTATGACATCATCTAGGTCAAAGACCTTATTTTATAGCTGAGGAAACTGACGTCTCTGACAGAGGGAGGGAAATGAAAAGAAGTAAAGATTTGTTTGCTACTAAGTGTATAATATAAATGGCTTGAGTAATATAGAAATTTTTCTCCTTCTCACAAAATGAGCTAGGCATGAGGAGTCCAGTTCTTGATGGATGGCTTTGCTCCATGAAGTTATTCAGAAATCCAGATTCTTTTCATTGGGGTATTCTTCCATCTCCTGAGCGTTCACTCATCTGTTTATTTATTCAACAGAAATTAATTGAGAGCCTGCTGTGTACTTGGCATTATTAGTGGCTCATCAGGAACAAAATAGACATAAATTCTTACCCTCTCAGGACTTATAGTGTGGAGGGGCAGCCAATAACCTAAATAATTGCATAAATAATACAGTTTGCTGAAAATAAATATGGAAAAATACAGCAGAGAAGGAGAACAGGGAGTATTCCAGGTGTGTGCATGTGTGTGTGTGTGTGTTGTGGAATAATAGACTTTGTGAATAGGATTGGTTAAGGGAACGACTCAGTGAGACAGTGTCTTTTGAGCAAAGGCAGTGAGGAATGAGTCATGTAGATTTCTTAAGAGAATTCCAGACAGAGAACAGCTAATGTAAATGCTCTGAGATGGTAACATGCCAATCACATTCTTGGAATAAATAGCTATTGTGATTTGAACAGAATGAGGGAGGAAGTCTCATTACAAGGAGGTGAGGTCAGCAAAGTAATAGGAGGACATATCTTGTTCGTCCTTAGAGGTGATTGTGAAACTTTTTATACTTTTGGAGGGTTTTCAGGAGAAAAGGATTGCTCTGACAGCAGTGTTTAGAGTTTAGGTGAAGAGGGACTGAAGTGACTGTTAAAATAATCCATATGGGAGATTATGGTGTTTGGACCAGGTACCATTGGAGATGTTGAGAAGAAGTCTTATTCTGGTTATCAGAATTGGACTGTGCTATGCAAGAGCCTATGTAGATTGGATTTGCTTTGCAAGAGCCAAGGATATCTCCAGAGGTTTTGGTTAAGAGTGGAAGGATGGACTAATTATAACTGAGATAGGGAAGACTTGTGTGTAAAATGGGTTTTGGGAAGAAGGTAAGGAATTCAGTTTTAGGCATGTCAAAATTGAGTTATATCCAAATGGAAAAACTTGAATTGATAGTTGAATATGGGAATTTAGAGTTCAATGGAGAAAACAGGCCTAGAGGTATAAATTTGAGGATCATCTGCGTACAGAAGGCATTTAAAACCATGAAATTGGATGATGTCACCAAGGGAGTGATTATAAATAGAGGACCAAGGACTGGTTGAGCCCTGGGCAGTTCAGTGTTAGGAGAATGGAAAGAACCAGAAAAGAAGTTTGAGAAGAAGCAGTAAGACAGGAGAAGAAAAACAAGAATGTGTGGTATTCTGGAAGCCAAATGAAGAAATTGTTCCCAAGAGGAAGACTTGAGCAACTGTGTCAGATATCTCTATGGTGATTTACCTCCATGTCCTTATTTAGCTATTTACCTATTTACAAAGGTAAATACATGATTTCCCTCCATGTCCTTAATAGCCATACAAAGGCAAAAAAGACAGCTTGTCTTTAAGGAGTGATTCTGAACTTAAACAGATAATTTCTGCCATTATCTAATTCGCCTGAACTTCCTTATGTAGCCACACCTAACACCAAAGGAATATAGTCTCCATCTAAGTGGCTATGTATTCATCTAAAAAGTAGAGGCTTCTCTTCCTAGAAGGAAGAAGAGGAGAATGAACACCAGGGAACACTTAGCAGCCTTTGGCCTGCCCACTCTGTGCCAAGGATAGTGACATGCACATAATACACCTTTTCTCCCAGAAAACTCCCTTCTCATACATGTGTATATTTGCATAAGGTATAATTTTCAAAGCTATCAAAATAGTGTTTTGGGAACAGTTCTCTTTGTGAAGAAGTTTATCCAGCAAAAGGTTATACCACTCTGTCATAGGCCAGGATCGAATATACACATCATCATTTTCTAGATTTCCAGTATCCAGGTATGATCTTTCCTTATATATTCAGTGAAAGAGGTACAATAGTATACTTCCTTTCCAATTTATATTTCTTGTATTTGCAAATAGTATAATAATGTTTTTTTCCAAGCTGACGTTACGTACAACTATCTTGCCCTACAGCACAGCTGGGAGAATTAGCTGGAATGATATCTAAGAGTACACAAAGGAAAGGGCTGAGGTTTGGGAAAGGCGTGTCAACAAAAAGCAGATGAAACAATGGTTGGCCTTGCGCGCAGATCCCAAAAGAGACTGGGCTACAAATCACCCTTTTCTAGAGTTCCACAAATTTGAAGTGTCGTTCCCCTTTTTGTGGGGAGGACGAGTGACAGAAGAGTGGAAAGAAGGCAGAATCTTTTAAATACGTCCAGGAGGAAAGAGTTTCCCGTTTTATAGGATAAGGCAGGAATGTGTGGAGTGGTTATGAATGGTTCACGCTGTCAAAAGAGCAAACGATTACTTTACAGAATGATAATAACAATAATGATCATTGTTAGTAATGTGTAATTGCTCTATATGTCATTTCTGTGATTATTTTGTTTTAAAAGTAAGAATGGTAACTATCTGAAACAGATAAATTTCACTAATTTCGATTTAGAGCATCTGAAGACTATGGTCATTGAGTTCTTTAATGTTTATCAAAAATAGAACAAATTCAGCATTTCTCATAGGTTTTATTTGAATATCAGAAAAAATGAAAAAAGAGAATCCAAGTAACAGAAAGGGATGAATCTCATCCTTCTTTTCCCAAGGGTAACTAGACAAGACCTGAAGTAGAATATGAAATGAATATCGCTTTATAAACATAGGGAAGCTAGTAACATTATCAGCATGAATTCAGAACTGGGCAATAAGAGATTACAAGATGAAAGTCCAGGACTCCATCAATAATTTATGAATGCTTCCTGTGTTGTTGCTATATACAGAACAGACTTCTACTCGTCTAGTTATTGTTGAATAATTCTTGCTTTATAAGCTCTTTTAAAATTAGATCAAGGCCTTTCCTATGCAAAGAAATTGATACCAGCTAATTAACAAAATTTATATTCTTTATTCTTTAACACATTTAATACTATCTTAGTTTGAGTATTAGAAAGTATCGTTTATAAAGCAGTTTTTACCACCTCCTCTCTTTTCACACTCTTTCACAGATCATAAGTAGATATCTAGTCATTACACAGAGCAGAACTAAAAAATAATGCAACTGGTTTTCCATAACATACAAAAATTAGTCTTTGTGATCAGGCTATGTATCTGAAAACATTGCTTTTCTCAAAAATAACTTCTTGTTAATGGTCTCCCCAATTATAATACTTCCGTTGTTCCATTTAAGTTCTGCCTAAGAGCCTGAGACATTTTACTTGGACAAGAGAGAGATGGGAGGGAACATTTATTTAGGGCCTGCCACTGACCAGAGAAAACTTAGTGGCTTTAAACCTTGTGAGTCCCTGCCTCTACCCTTAGCATCTGCACACAAGCATACCCATAGCACACATGCGTGCACATCTGCCTACTCACATTGTTGAGAGGGAACTATGGCCCATAGCCTTTTATTTACCTTTCTTTTGATTCATTCCTCTTCCCTCTGTTAAACCAAAGATTTTAATATTCCTGCACTCCTTTACTCCGTTACTTTACCTCTTAGTCATCTCTGCATATTTCCTGGAAGTGCTTATTGGGCTTAGAATTGAAAAATTACTGTGCCGGACAGTCAGAGCAGGTTTTGTTCTCAAATAAGAGTGAGCCTACCTCCCGTATCCTTCACCTTTTTTTCGTTTATTCTCATTCATTCCCCTAACACTGTACTCTGCAATTGAAAGTCAGATAAGTCTTGGTCTAAGTCCTCTAGGGAGGGAAAACTGAAAAATGAGCTGTAAGTTACAATGTAATGTGTTAATAACCTGCACAAATTGTTTGAGAACACCAAGGTGCGTCAGAGTTATGCTGTGAGGTGGTTAAGAAAGGCTTTCCAGAAGAGGTGGGTGCTTGAGTAGAGTTCTGAATGATGAAGGAAGGGCCTTCTGGGGAACTGGGAAACAGCAGGTGCAAATACGCAGGGGCATACAACAGCAAAGCATGCTCAGAACACGTGGATGTCTGGACGGACTCTTGGTCTGGAGCCATTTACAAAAATTCCTTTCTTCTTGTACCATATCTCTGGGAAGGTGAGGTTTTCATAAAGGGGTTCTGGTGTCTGTTCTAGGAGATAACTGCCATCTTTTAGCCAGGAAATAGCCCCTGAGAGGTAAATTTGGAGCAGTTTTCAGACGTCCACTTATCATCATTTTGTTTATCAGAGAGTTGCACCTGTTTGTTTCTGCTAGTCATTACATTATCCATTTTAAATCAGGACAACTTCCTAGAATTAAATTCTGGGGGAAAATATCATAGATTCAGAGTACCAGTTCTCATTCTTCTCTCATCTTTCTCTCTGGATCCTTTTATTTTTGTATGTCTAAATAGGCACACCTGTAGACTGTTAACTTGAGCCTTGTTTCTCTCTATAGTATTCATTCCTAGAACCATCTTTTTCAAGTTTGGCATAACAGAGTAGAGATACACGTATTAAAAAAAAAAAAGCAGAGTTAAACTACCTGACTTAGAATTCTCTGGATAGCCAATAGTATTTTCCAGGGAAAGTACAGTCATATGAGGCCAATAGACAGATGCTGAGAAACTTGCTAAACTATTAACTTTTCATTTTAGATGATTAGGTACCATTGGGCTGGATGAGTGGATCTGGCAAGCTGTTTTTCATTCAGTAGTGTGTTGTACAACATCAAATTTTAATTTGAGTATATAAAAATAGTGTCTGTTTTTGGCATGGGTTTTCATCTACATGTTTTGAAAATATTAAAATAATCGTCTTCTTGCTAAAAAATGATTTATTGTCATTTTAGGTGGTGCAGGCAACAGGAGGCCCTGAACTAGCCAGTTCAATCCTCAGCCCCCTATTGACTAAGGATACAGTTGATTTCTTAAATTATGCTGTCAATCATGATGAAAGGCAGCTGTGGATGTCATTGGGCGATGCTTGGATGAAAGTCAGGTAAACAAATATGAGTTTAGTATTTAATACTTATAATACTTTTAAGTATTGTTCTTTGTTTTTTACTTGGATCTAACAAGATATTTATTTAACCTTCTATGTATGAAGGTCCAGGTGTTATAGATGAAAAAGGCTAAACCCTTAAAAAGCTAGAAAGAAGTCTAGTGGAGAAAATAGATGTGTATACAGTATGAGGCATGATAAGTACCAGAAGTGACTTATAAACAAATGCTGTTGCTTGGCAAGGTGTAACAGTCAGGAAGAGCATTTAGAGAGGAGAGTAGTTGGCTTTCAAAGAAGAGCTGGCATTTAAAATCAGCAGATAATAGTACTAGTAGGTATACATACATATACATGTAAGTACATATAGTGTTTGCTGGGCACTCCTCCATGCATTTTACGTAGGAAGTAGATGAGGAAACTGAGGCACAGACAAGTTAAGTAATTTTACGAAAGCCACACAACTCATAAGTGGCAGAGCTGGGATTTGAACCCAAGCAATCTGGTTCTTGAGTCAGTGTTCATAATTATTTTGCTAAGTTGCCTTTTAGCAGGATGAGTAGGATTTCCACCAATACGTAGCAGGCAAAGGGCCTTCCCAGGAGAGAGAGAAGCCTGAGTGAAGGCATAGTGCAGGAAGTCAAGAGAATGGAGTATGAATATGAGTTTAGCTGGAATATAGCCTTTGGGTGGTGGATGATGTAGAGAGTGGGGAGAGGAGGAATGGCATTATATGAGACATACAGACATGGGCAGGGCTGAGTTAGGGAGGCTCCCAGAGCCCTGCTAAGGAGTCGAAGCATGGTTCTGTAGGCTGTGGAGAACCAAGAACTTTATAAAGAGGAGTGTGACATAATCTCCTGTTTTAGAAAGATCAGTCTGGTAGCTGAGTCTAGCAAGGACAAGGACACAAGTAACTAGAGGCAAGGAGGCCCCTTAGTAATGCTATAGTAGAGGTTCCTTATTAATCAGCATTCTCTAGGACTAGAACAAGGGTGGTGAGAATAGAGAGGAGGATGATTTGAGAATTGCATCTTGTCAATAAAGTGATTGTGGAAGACTGTTAAGCTTTGCCAAACTAGGCAAGTTATAAAAATATTTCTCATTTCCTGGTATGTCAATAAGTTAATTTTGCCTTCTTCATTTATCCAAATCTTTTTATTTCTCTCAATACTCAGAGCAGGTCATTCAATATGGCCACTTAGAAGCTTGTCTTCCTATGCTTTTGAATGGGCTAGCCTAAAAGGAATGGACCAATTCTTTTTTTTTTTTTTTTCTTCTCCTCCTTTTCTTCTATTGAAACACATAGAAATCATTCCTGCTTATGTTTTGGACTTTGGCAGCTTCTTGTGTTGGAATATGGTTTACACATTAAATGGTTTACCAAGCAGAAAATTCTTTAAAAGCACTGCAGTTGTTGCTTTTTTATTGAAAATATTATTTAGTAGGCTGTCCTGGTGGTGCAGTGGTTAGGTTCATTGTGCTCCACTTCAGCGGCCCAGGGTTCACGGGTTCAGATGTTGGGCATGGACCTACACCGCTCAGCAAGCCATGCTATGGAGGCATCCCACATACAAAATGGAGGAAGCTGGGCACAGATGTTAGCTCAGGGCCAATCTTCCTCAAGCAAAAGGGGGAGGATTGGCAACAGGTGTTTTTTTAGCTCAGGGTCAGTCTTCCCCACCCCCCAAAAATATATGTATATTATTTAAATTTATTTGTATATTAATATATTATATTAACATATAATATGTTGGTTAAATAGATTTCTTAACTATATTAGATTTATGTAGGTTGTGATTTTTTGATAAGCTTAGGTGGGATCTTTTAATATTTTCCCATGAAACATTAAATTTTCAGATCTCATGGTACAAAAGTAGCTCAGGGCTTTTAAATTTCTTTGTTTTGGGTCCTACCTCAAAACCAGAAAATTAATGACCATGTAGTTTTTATAACTATATCAGAAGGAAATATCTTGTTAGCTCTTGACATGAGAAAATGGTCATTTCAGATCCTGATTGTTAAGAGTATTAGGAAATGAATCAGTGTATTTAAAAACTCATAAAATAGAAAGAATCATGAAGGTATGCAATAATCTGAATAAAATGGCTCATTTCATCATAGTAGCGGTGTAGCCTGAAGAATGAAATCATGTGTGAAGGATAAGACAACATATTATAGCAGAAATGAAGCTGTAATTTCTGTCCTCGTCATTTTTGTGGTTCATGAGTGATTAGGAGCTTGTAGAAATATCTCATTAGACTTATAAGAGTCATTAAATAATGAATGGGTGATGATTATGATTTACAGGTTAGTTCTAATTTGATTTTACTGATTAAAATCTAGCTGATACATTTAATTTATAAAATTGGTAATATCTTTCATTTTAGGGGACTTCATAACTTAAAAAATCATAAACCTTAAGAACATTCTCTGCTCTTTCTCTTTTGAAAGATGTATCTAATATCAGGAGATTTCATAATGATGAGAGAGGAGGGAAGAGAAAGATGAGAATCTGTAACTACTTCAGATCTAGGGAAGTTTATATTCTCAATACTTGTTACACTTCTAGCTTCACATGTCCTTCCCAAATTTTCAAAAACCTATATCCATGTTAAGCAGCTGAGTTAATGGAGAATTGAGGCAATGTAGTGAAAACAGATCCTGAAGCAGAATTCAATCTTTCTTTCATTTTATTGGTATTAAATACTAGTATAAGTGTGCAGAATTCAATCTTTCTTTCATTTTATTGGTATTAAATACTAGTATAATTGTGTGTACTTTTTGAGCAGAGGGAGGATAGATTAGGTATCCGTTGTTTTTGACTGTTGTTATTTGTTTTAGGGTTTTTTCGTGGCTAGGCTCACTGAAGAGAATTTTGAACACGGATACGTTTCTTAATTTTATGTCTTAATGTCCTTCTACAGAGCAGAGTGGCCAAAAGAGCAGTTCATTCCACCATATATTCCCAGGTTCCGCAATGGTTGGGAACCCCCACTGCTGAGCTTCATGGGAGCACCGCTGGAACAGGATCTTTATTCGCTGTCTGAGTCTGTGGCAAGTCTAGAACATCAGCGCAAACACGAAGCAAAACGATCTTCCTCAGAGGTAAAGTTTTTAAATGTCACCTTTTGTGGAAAGTGCAATAGTCCATGCATTCTCCCATAAGTCTGATTGTGAGTTCTCATTTTATTGATCTGAAGGTTGTTCTAGAATCAGTGACTAAATGTCCTGCTGCCCTTAGTTACCTCTCTCCCCTCTTGGTCCTTGTTGTGACAGTTGCTCTGTTCCCTGTGAAGCCCGGCCCCAGCCCATCACATCCCTTGCAGCCTGCGGCCCTCCCTCCACCGCGCCTGCTGGTGTTCCCCGAGCCCTGGGGTGATCCTGTCTTTTTGTGTTGGGTACTTTCTCTCCTGGTCAGGAAACTGCCCTACCATTGCTTGGCTTATTCTTTCTGTTTTCCTCTCCCATCATGAACACCTCAAGATAGTTCTCTGATCTGAGTTCCTTGCAGCCTGTCCCAACCACCTCTTTGCCAAATGCCCCATTTCTTTCTTTTATTTTTTTGCCTAGTTCTAAATCTCTAAAGTCCTATCAGCTTGGCTGAGGAAGCCAAAGTTTCTCCTGGACTCTGGTCTCCAGGCTCACATGATTGTGTATAACACTATTACATCTTGAGGAGATCACCAAATGTATTGTCTTTGAAGTATTTAGTAAGCTTTTGAGTATAACCTATTTCGGGAGCAAATTGAGGGATTGAAATTGGGTATGTTGTCTCTTCATATGCCTTAAGAATGATTTTTCTGTGACTGTTCTTGTTCTGTCAGAAAAGGAAAACATTCTTTAAAGCTGAACCAAACCGAATAGGATGATCAGGACCCGAGGAATTAGATGAATGAGGTCTAGTTTGAAGAAGAAACAGTAAATGACGACTAGATCCTTCTTGAAGTCTTGTTCATTTCCTTTATGTAATTCTTTGATTAATTTTCTCAGACTACTGTGGGTGTTTATAACGTGGCAAACATGATGTGAAGGAATAATTAGAAAACCAGACTAAATCCTCACATTTAAGGAAAAACATTTATATAAATTAAGTTTCTTAAAATCATTCCCTTGGATATTAATTGTAATATTATAGAAGATTGGTTAAACAGACATTTTTCTAAAGAAGATATCCTGATGGCCAACAAGCATGAAAAGATGTTCAGCATCATCAATTATTAGGGAAATGTAAACCGAAACTACATTGAGATATCATTGTGCACCTGTCAAAATTAAATATTTTTTATATTATTAAAAAGACAAGAAATAAATGTTGGAGAGAATGTGGAGAAAAGAGAACCCTCGTATACTGCTGATGGGAATGTAAACTGGTGTAGCCACTGTGGAAAACAGTGTGGAGATTTCTCAGAAAATTAAGAAAAGGGCTACCATATGATCCAGCTATTCACTTCTGGGTATTTATTCAAAGAATAGGAAAACACTAATTCAAAAAGATATATGCACCCCTATGTTCATTGTAGCATTATTCACAATAGCCAAGACATGGAAACAACTTAAGTGCCCATTGACAGATGAATGGATAAAGAAGATGTGGCAGGCACACACATACATGCATATGTAAATACATACATACAATGGAATACTACTCAGCCATGAGAAAGATGAAATCCTGCCATCTGCAACAGCATGGATGGATCTCAAGGGCATTATGCTATGAGATAAGTCAGACAGAGAAAGACAAACACTGTATGATTTCACTCATATGTGGAAGGTAAAAAACAACCACCACCACCAAACACATAAATACAGAGAATGGATTGGTTGTTACCAGAGGGGATGAGGAGTGGGGAGAGGGTGAAATGGGTAAAGGGGGACATTTGTATGTTGACGGATGGAAACTAGAGTTTTGGTGGTGAACACCATGTAGTGTATACAGAATTTGAATTATAATGATGTACACCTGAAGTCTATATAATGTTATAAACCATTGTTGCCTCAATTAAAGGAAAAAACACTGTATAATGTACTTTAATTACTTAATAGATTAGTGATACATGGATAACATTTAATATGTGATTTTGATATTTTTATATACACAGATTATTAAAATTTATATATTACCTGAGAAAATCAAATTCTGAAAGTGTCAAAAAAAATAAAGCAAACATACTGCTTTGAAAATAATTTTTTCGAGTGTAAATGTTTTTTCTTCTGGCTGCATGCAAGGGTAAAGGTGGACTCTGTAACTGCTCTTTCCTCTAAGTGAGTGGTTAAGAAGATGACCTCACAGCTCTGGGCATTGGTTGGGAGGCATTCACCTCTATCTGGATTTTAGAGTTTAGACCTCATCACCATGAATTTTCTTTCCTCAGAGAGGGCAACTTTTCTAGAAGATGTCATCAAACATGAAATTATGATGCACTTGCTCTTGCTTTAGTTACAGCTGACTATTTTCAAATCAGAAATTTCTGGCATACCGTCTTCATAACTTAAATCACAAAATATATCCATTTAATAATGTATGCCTCGGAAATTCACTTTTGTGAGTTCTTTTTCAATTTGTGCCTTTAAAGAGAGAGTAATATGCTCTGCGCTTCCAGTGTAAAAGTTTGTCTACTCTCGCTGAATAAGTAATTTTTAAAGAAGAATTACTGAGAATCTTTTCTTGTAACGAGTTATCATTTTCCTCTTGTAAACTATTTTCCATTTTATGGCGTAAGTACTTATTCAGAGGTTTAAAAAAGTAAATGAAAAGCTCCTGCTAGCGGTTTTAGGGCATTTTATGCCTTAAGATTTTACTGGAAAAGAGGGCAAGTAATGGTGATTTAAAATGCATAAAAAATGCAATCATTCCCAGAAGAAAGGTTTTATTATACTTTGTTGCTGCTAAAATAAATACACACAGGACAAGACTTGGATGATTCAAATCTGGTGGTTTTCTTTAGAATTGAAAGGCATAGGTGACATGGAGTGGCAAATACGGGTGGCAACACTTAGCTTCTTTACTTCCTCTGAAGCAGCAGCCACCCTTAACAAGGTTGTGTAGTCATCACTGTTAGTAATTTGTGATTATTTCACCCCGCCCTTCTAACATTCCCGGTTACTCTCAGACCCAATGACTTCAGACTGGCTGACCTCACTCTGTTATGGTCAGAGCTAGGCAACAGGTGTGAGTGATTCTAACAGTTTTGTATACACCCCTCCTTATAACAACCTTTCATAAAAACTTGCCTAAACATCTACTGCCTCTACTCTCTCTTACGGAAATAATGAACTGAATTAATGAAGCCATTTATTTTTTATTTTGACTTTGTTGAGGTATAATTGACAAATCGTAAGATATTTAAAGCGTACATCTGGTGATTTGGTACACATATACATTGAGAAAGGATCCCCCCCCATCTAGATAATTAATACATTGACATATCCATCACCTCATATATTTATTGTTTTAGGGGGAGGTGAAACACTTAAGTTCTACTCATAGCAAATTTTAATGATACAAATTTCAATTGTACAATACAGTGTTATGAACTAGAGTCACCATGATTTACATTAGATCCTCAGACCTTAATTCATTTATAGCTGAAAGTTTGTACCCTTTTACCAACCTCTCCCTATTTCCTCCAGCCCTTGGCAACCACTTTTCTCTTTTGTGTTTCTATGAGTTTGATTTTTTTTTTTTAAGATTCTACACATAAGTGATACCTTGCAATATTTGTCTTTTTCTGTCTGGCTTATTACACTTAGCATAATGCCTTCAGGGTCCACCCATGTTGTCACAAATGACAGGATTTCCTTCTTTCTCGTGGCCGAATAATATTCCATTGTGTGTATATATGTATGTATGTATGTATGCATATATATAGATAGATAGATAGATAGATAGATAGATAGATAGATACCACATCTGCTTTATCCATTCATCTGTTTATGGACCCTTAGGTTGTTTCCATATCTTGGCTATTGTGAATAATGCTGCAATGAACATGGGGCTGACTGTAGATATTTCTTCAATTTCCGTCAGTAATATACCCAGTAGTGAGACTGCTGAATTGCATGGTAGTTCTATTTTTAATTTTTATGATACCTCCATACTGTTTCCCATAGTGACTGCACCAATTTACATTCACATCAAGAGTGCACAAGGGTTACCTTTTCTCCACACCCTTGCCAACGCTTGTTATTTCTTGTCTTTGTGATGATAGCCATCTCAACAGATAGGAGGTGATATCTCATTGTGGTTTTGATTCACATTTCCCTGATGATTAGTGATACTGAGAATCTTTTCATTTACCTGTTGGCCATTTGTATGTCTTCTTTGGGAAAATGTCTGTTCAGGTCCTCCGACCATTTTTTAATTGGATTGTTTGGCGTTTTTTTGCTATTGAGTTGTATGAGTTCTTTATACATTATGGGTGTTAACTCCTTATCAGGTATATGATTTGCAGGTATTTTCTCCCATTCTTTAAGTTGCCTTTTCATTTTCTTGATGGTTTAAGCTAAGGAATTTAAGTGGTGAAAATTGTTTATTTGTATTTTTGTGTTAAGTGTATTCCAGTGACGAATATTCCAGAGTAATATAATATGGGTAATTTGACATCAATACTGGTCCATCGGGGAAATCTCAACTATTCTGTCTGTGGATAAGCTCAGCCCTACACCTGCCAATTTTTTCATCAGAATTAACTATAGTAAACATGTGTCTGATACTTTTCTAAAATATTCCCAATTTCAAATATTTTGCCTGAGTAAATCTATAAATAATCGAAATAGCCAGAAATTCCATTGCTTCACGGTCTATCGTGCAATCCCCATCCTTCATTTTACATAAAGAAATAATACAAAGTCTTTAGGTGAATGTTTTTTTGGTTGTTTCTTTGTTTTCCCCCCATAGCTCTAAAACCATGCTGCTCCCTGGGACCCATAGACCTCAGCTCTCCCTAGGGGTAGCCTGGTAGCCCAGTACTATTGACCATCAAGATAAATGTGTTTCTGCCTTTCTGCATTTCCTTCAACAGTAAATCTGATAATAGTGCTGTCATTCTTTAACAAGTAAAAAATTGTGTCTATGTACATTTTAAAAATGAGAAAAATGGTATAATTTTAATGCATAGAGTTCATATAATTTTCCAGTGACAGTATTTGCTTTGCCAGAGGGGTAAAGGTCTGTGTCTTAAACATAGAGAGCAAGGATTAAGGGTTTTATTCCTGTTGTTTTTAGACCATTTTTATACAAGCTGTTAAAGTCTGCCTAAAACCAAAGTCACCTATTACTGAAATTCCTGAGGAAAGAATTTATTGCTTTTGTACCTGGCTATTTCCAGAATTAAGATTTAGCCTTTGCATTAATTGCTTTCCTTACTACTTAGGGCTTTACAAGTAGGTGTACAAAAATGTATCACCGCCATTTCATAATTTATTAACATAATGGTCAATCACTTGAAAATGAAACTGACCACAATATCGTGGCGGGTTCTTGTTGACTGATGTTAGTGCTCATTCAAATAGTATTGCTGATTCTTTAACCTCCCCTCCTGTCTTTCAGCAATCCAGTCTATCAGAGTATCCTGCAGCTGATGGGTATGCATTCAATAACATTTACTCAAGAGGGTCGCATCTGGATCAAGGGGAAGCCGCCGTTGCTTTTAAGCCAACTCCTAATCGCCATGTAGATAGGTAACGTTTCATGGGCACCATTTGGAGAGCTGTGGATGACTGTTTCTGGTTTAGTGCAAATAGAGGTGACAGTGTCTGCATTGTTCACTGCTTCTTTAAGCTTTCCATCTGTTAATTATTTGATAAAGTTACATTTGTTCCTTTTTAGAACTGGCTTTGATGAACAAAAGATGTCTGGACCTCCAGTGTGTAATTTAGTGCAAATGCTTTTAGATGACTTTCTCTTTTTAAGAATATGCTTCTGACAAAATCTGTAAATCAAGAAGAAAGGAGAATTGTTCTGAAACTCTCTGTTAGTTGGTACCAGATGGTCTCTAAGGATCTTTCCAGCCCTATAACTTTTAAAGGAAATAATTTCCATCTTTCTCTCCCCCAACAAAAACTAAATCCCTTCCTTTAGATAGAAATATTTAAACTAAATATAAGTTAAATATTTAAACAGAGTCAATGCCTTATTTGCCATTCTTACCATTTCATCTTATTATATTTTATTTTTACTTTCTAGTTTTACATTTCATTTCTTTTCTCATATTTTCACTCTTAAAAAAATTCAGTATAGGCAAAGATGGAGAATTGAGGTAAGGAAGAAATAAATGAAGTGGAATAGGTTCACTTTTTCAGTCTTGTTTTCTAGCCACTGCAAGTGAGGTTTACTTAGAGGCCAACCCCTATACCAAAGAGAAAGAAAAGGAGGTGAAATATTGGTCACAAGGATACAGGAGATGATCATCAGATGAAGTGGAGTAGAGAACTGGTCCTAGGACTTTCCTACCTCAAAGCCTCTCTTAGCACCATGTTGCATGCCCTTTGTTTCTTCTCAGTATACTCTTTTCTTAATAGAATCTAAATAAAGTGAGATTTAAAATTTTTGGTTTTTGTCGGGAATGATGACAGAGGTATTAAGTAACTGATGTGCAAATTATACAGGTATAACTCTTAAGGGCAACAGTAGCATATTAAATTTGGTACAAAGAAAAATCAATGAATAATACGTTTTGAAAATGCCAACATATGAAATGAGTTTTAATTATAGATTCAATTTTTAGTAGATATGGGTGAAAATCAGTTTGGATATTTAAAAATTATTGCATTGAAATTCTTCTTGACTAACTCATTACTCATCCTATTATTTTCTTTTTCCTTTTTTCTGTCTTAGCTGTCAATATTCTGGAAATTATTTCAGATTAGTAATTCTTACCTTTTCTTTTTGTTCCATTGCTCCAGTAAATTGGGATGGTTTTTCACAGCTAAGCAGCTAGAAAACCACTTGAGTACCTTTCTCATGTGTGTTCAGAGTTATAGTACGTATTGATAGTAGAAAACTTTTATCATGTTCTAAGACCACATCTAGCACGTTGTGGCCACTCAGTAAGTGTTTGTAGGTTTATTTGATTGACTTACTGAATGACTGAACAGGTACATGATTGTGTACCTAACATTTCAAAGTCACTACCTCTCTGTCCTTCACCTGCAAATCTATTGTAAGGTATAGTATTACTGATGGAAAAACCCTCTGCCATTTATTTTGGGTAGCTTATCACAAAGCCTTTTAAAAGTTTACCTCGATCTTTATAGAGTATCAGGGGAGTAGGTATACCTTTGACTTACTGATTTAGTCATATCTCTGTACCCTACCTACTTCCAAAATGGATTCAGGCAGCTCCCTTAAATGATATTCAGTTAAAGTAATGTAAATGTTACGAATTAAATAAATAAAATACAAAATTAAAAAATCAAAAGTGAGCATAAGAGTTAAATATTTGAGGTATAGGTTGACACTGTGATTGAATTTCAAATTTGTCTTTGAACTTCATCGTTGTCTGCAAAAAGAGAAACATAATCATTTACTATCATTAGGAAAAGGAAGAAGTATATATCAATTCATTAGGATAAACAATGTTTTTCTTAGTATTAAATCCTCAAAAATATTTATCTCATGGAATTTTACATAGGATATGAGCAATGATGTAAGGAACATTATTTTTAAACATATTTTTGTCCCTCATTTGGAGAATACTGTGGTGAATTTCAGAAGGTTTCTTTTAGTAACCTTTGATAAATAAGAAATGTAAATGGAATTTAGGGAAAAAAATTACATGAAGGAGTATTCAAGTATATAGATATTAGAGTTGTCAAACTTTAGCCAGAGAGAATTTTTTTAAAAAATACATTGAATAGTAGGTGGATTGTATATCTCACTTGTCTGTCCTTATGGATTGCCTCTCTCGGCTGGGCTATCCTAATAGGAGCTGGATAGTTGATAGATACCTGGATCATTGATGTTCTATGTTGCTAAGGAAATTTGTCATCATTATTGCAAAAACCATCTGAAAGTTCTGGTCTGATGTGAAGTACACAGAGGTTTGGAATTTGTTTTTCTAATTATTACTATTACTAACCTTAACCTCTATTACACATGAAGAAATGCAGTAAATACCATATGAAGTATACAGTCATGCATCACTTAACCATGGGGATACAGTCTGAGAAATGTGTCCTCAGGAGATTTTGTCATTGTGTGAACATCACAGAGTGTACTTAGGCAAACCTAGATGGTATAGCCTACTGCGCACCTAGGCTATCCAGTACTGATCTTATGAGATCACCATTGTATATGTGGTCTGTCATCGACCGAAACCTTGTTATGCAACGCGTGACTGTATTCACTTTTCAGTGAAATTACCATGTCATTAGATACACCACCTGTTGAATTCAGACCCCTTAAGTTTATTTTTTGCCCAGCTGTAGTTTGTGCATTTTAATTGTAAGACCTCCAAACTTTCTTTTAGTTCTCATATTCTGTAAGACATAATAAAACTAAACTACTATCTAAATAATTGGTCAAAATGTTTTCTGGTAGGGATTGGCTTGCCTTAATGTTTTACTTCTATTTTCAGCCTCTAGGAAGAGCTAGCAGAAAATAATCTTTTTTCTTTCTTTTTATAGAAATTATGATCCAGTCAAAACACAACCCAAGAAATATGCCAAATCCAAGTATGACTTTGTGGCAAGGAACAACAGTGAGCTCTCAGTTCTGAAGGATGATATTTTAGAGGTAGTAGAATTTTACCTTTTTTATGCTCTTCATAAAGTGGATTTATTGTATTCCTCTCTTGGTATATATCTAACCCTTCCCCAAAGAAACCTTCCTCAGAAATCAGACGTCAAGAAGTTATTCTTCAGTATTATTTTATTTTACCAGTGATACACTATGTTATAGATACCTGTATCTCTTGAGGAGAGTTAGCTGCTTTATCCATCTTCTGTTTGTTTGGGGGAGGACGGAGGTTGGATTTCTTTACTCATTTTTCTCTCTTCTTTTTTCTGGGCTTTATTCATTTGGGAATCAAGGCTAGTTATCAATTCAGATGTAGATGTACCATAATAATTTAATAAGAAAAAACTTTTCCTTCCTCCTCTCCTGGTACCCTTGCATAGACATACCCAACAGTGAGTGAGCAGGCTGGGAATAATCTACCATGCCTTCTGAATCTCCTTCTTAGGTTGTAACTGAGAGTTCATCTTTTTTTTTTGAGGAAGATTAACCTTGAGCTAACATCTGCCGCCAATCCTCCTCTTTTTGCTGAGGAAGACTGGCCCTGAGCTAATATCCGTGCCCATCTTCCTCTACTTCATATGTGGGACGCCTGCCACAGCATGGCTTGACAAGCAGTACACCCAGGATCCAAACTGGCAAACCCCAGGTTGCCAAAGCAGAATGTGTGAACTTAACCGCTGCACCACTGGGCCAGCCCCAAGAGTTCATCTTTTTTAATATATAATGTGGGATGGTCACAATAACTTTTGTAAAAAAAAAAGTGATTTTCACACTTTTCCTTTCTATTCCAAAGGTGGTTGACAATAGACCTTTCCAAGAGAGTCATGTTAGTCACCTATAGTACTTCAGATAATGCAAATAGTTAAATATTTTTGGGAGGTAATATGGAGTTTGGGTAGATTCTTGATAGTGGTCCCACTCGTTTTCTATACTAGTAATTGTAATCTTTAGTGTAATGCCTGAGAATCATTCAACCCGCAGTATGTTGATGCAAAGTCAACTTATTAGAAGTGAAAAAGTTTCTTGGTCTAGGAATAAAAATTGAACTTCCTTCAATTTTGGCTTTGGTGCAGAAATGATGCCTTTATTTTCTTGCTTGATGGCAGATCCTTGATGATAGGAAGCAATGGTGGAAAGTTCGAAATGCAAGTGGAGAATCTGGATTTGTGCCAAATAACATTTTGGATATCGTGAGACCTCCAGAATCTGGATTAGGGCGTGCTGATCCACCTTACACACATACCATACAGGTAATTATGATTTCTTAGCAGAATTTACAAATTTTCGAATTTGTTACTCTTAAACAGAATTTAAACATCTTTAGTGGGTTAATCATTTTGGGGCTTAATTGGTGGTACAATTTACACAGTTTTTTCCTAGGGTAATTGGTGGGCAGAGGTGAGAGACATAGGGAAGAATTACACATGTTTTCTGATTTACTTCTTCAGGAAATTGCTCACAATGTTTACCATTCAATGACTCTTTCTCTGAATGCTATTTTTTTCACCCTACCATATTTCTGACGTTTGGAGAAATAGTATTTCCGCCTCTTTCCTCTTACCCATAGCTCTCCCACCCGATGGCTTCCTCTTGGTAGAGGATGGTACTGAGAGAGCGGCTGGAGTCTCCAGCTCTTCATCTTCACCAGACTTTGCTCTCATTCTCTTCAATGTTCTGCCACAGACTAACCTTGAACTTGCGTTCATCTCACCTTACACTAACACATGAGTATTTGTTCAGTTGCACTATAATAATTTTTCTTTCTTGAATTCAAGATTAAAATGTGGTTATGATATGCGTTAGATGGGCCAGGCTTTCTCTTCTTGATCATTGAATAATTCTTGAGTCCCATGCCATGTTTTCAGGATTTCAGTGACCCTGGTTATCTCATTCACCCTGACACCTGAATTCACTTGTTATTAAAGTTTTGGGATTTTTGGCCTGTGGCAGAATCTCTAGAGTCGGATCTGCCAACAGAGACAAGATGGATGGACTACCCTCTGAACCTGTGTTGGCTTCTTTCTCATGCCTCCAGGAAGAATTCTTTCAATTTTCAGAATCTTGAGCAAAGATCACATCTGACCCCCTAATAATGCCATAAATTCGAGAAGAAGCCAAAGCTGCATAGAGTATGCAGTGAAACAGTTAATTTCCATTCCTAGGCTTAGCAAAATACAGGTTGTCAAAACCCAGAATTGTGTCATGTGCTGCCATGACCGTTCTTAAGTACTTCTGGCTCCTCATGGCATTCGAGCCAGTACAAGTCCTGGACTTATCCAGAGTGACTTTTGGCCTTATTAGAATCCAGGAACCAAGCAAACATTTAAAATAAAGAATTGGTGTACAATTTATATATCTTGATAACTTAAAGTGATGGCAATGGAAATTTAGTTTGCTGTGCTTATGTTTTGGCTGGCCTGACATCCATATATATTATGTACTTATTTTATGTTCGTCATTTGTTATTAGCTGTTGATGCCAAAGAAGGAGTTTGAGTTATTCAAGGTATGGTCTACTCCATTTACCATGGATTTTTGAAGTGAATTTTCTAACTTAGTTTTAATACCTTTTTCTTTCCTAAGTTCCTCCTTTTCTGATTTTGAGATGTGGTTTCTCAACATCCTATAGGCTTCTGTCTGGTTTGTAAATGCCAGTTCTTCATGTTCTTTCTGTTAGAGTGCCTTAAACAGTGTTTAGAGTGTATGCTTGAAATGGATGCCTAAAGTAATGATAGAGTATATACCTTTTGAGCTGTAAGGACTGTTTTTAATACTTAACTCATGATAAACTATAAGAAACACTATTTACCAGGAATATCCTTAGTTGCTGTATGTGAACAGAAGCCAAGAGTTTATATTTTAGGTGTTAAAAACAATTATTCAAGTTTGTTTTTCTTTGTGTGCGTGGTTGCTAGAAATGGGCAAACTCCAGTAAAATAAGATACTTAAAACTGGCAAATAATGTAAATTCTAAATATTTTCCCCCACCTGCGATTTCCTAAGGAGTTTAACCTCTCTTACCTTTTCCTGTTTACTGTTCAGTCTTGCCTTTTTCTTCAATCCTGATTCCTTGCTTGAGCCATAAGTTGGCTTTTCTGTTTAAATGTTGCTTCTGTCTAAAATTGAACCAAAACTGTTAATACCTACCATAGGTAGAGAGAGTACTTGTTTGAGAACATAAAATCTATTCCTCCTTTCGTGAACAGAGCCTCATCTTATATTTTTGTCACCTTTGGCACAACCAAGAACTTTTTTAAGTGCTCACAAGTTTCAGGAGTTTGTTTTGCCCTTTTATGTAAATAGAAACTTGTGAGGATTTCCTGCTTGGGCTATTTCCCTTTAAACTTTTCAACACTATCTCACTGTCTTCTGAAAATTTCTGGCTGCAACGCTGAATGCAGTGATGTATGCAGAAATGTGTACAGAAGCTCTTGTGTGTGTGTGTGTGTGTGTGTGTGTGTGTGTGTGTTTAGGTGGAGGGAAGCACTTTTACAAGGCATTAAAAACAATCTATTTTTTAACACCTCCTGAAAGTTTTGGGCTGAGGCCAACCAAACCACTAGACTTTGTCAGATTTTAATAAGCAAGCTTGACAATCTGCTATCTGGCATACATACTGCTCTAAAAGGATTCCTGTTCTCAAAGCATTTATAACACACACACAAAATGACTAGATAGAGTAGGAAGGAAAAGAAAAAAGTTCCTCATAAATATGTGCCCATCATTTTGTATCTCTACGACATTACCAGATACATTCATCTAAAATGTCTAAAGAAATTTCCTGCAGCCTATTTCAGAATGACAAAAAAGCTACCACCATGTTTATGTAAATTCTAGAGATCCTAACATCCTAACTTATAGACTGCCACTGGATTACAAACATAGCAAAAGCAATTCTGTGTCTTATTCATCTTTTCATTCATTCACCCCAAAAATATTTATTGAGTGCCAGTGTCTCGCACTTGATAAAAAGAAAGACAGAAAGCATAGCACTGATCAGATCCTGCATAAAGCATGCTGTCTGGAATCAAATCTCCAGGCCACCTGCCATGGCTTTACTCCTCCCTTTGTGCTTGTGTATTAGGAGCAGCCACCATCTCTCTTCAGAAATGGCCAACAACACACTTTTTCCCATGGCTCTTCCATCCGATGGTATAAAAGTATTTGAAGAAACTTAAAGAAACTTCTTACAAAAACATTTTAGATCCCTGTACTATACTGCAGAAAGATGCTCATGCTGTGTGCCAGGCATTGTTTAAGGACTTATCAAAGACTGATTCATTTAATTCCCACAACAACCTTATGTGCTAGCACATTTTATATATGAGTAGACTAAGGTACAGAGAAGTAACTTGCCCACAGTTACACAGCTATGAGAAGCCAGGATTGGGACCCAGGAATCAGAGTCCATGCTCTGATGTACTCAACTGTTATAAGGAATAGTGCTTAGAAAAGGTTGTCATCTCATTTTGTATAGACATGGTTTTTCATTATATGAATGCTTAAAGTGAGATCTTCTCAGAATAGCTTTACCATGCATTGTACTGTGATAAAAGTTGATCTGATTAGACACCATTTTTGAAATTGGATTTTTGCCTTATGCATCCATTCCTTGGATTTCATGAATTCTTTCTCTTTTTTTTTTATCATATAGGAAAATGATCCAAATTATATAATTCACTTACAAAGTAGACATTTTTTGAATGGTGGGAGTAAAGGAATTAGATGTGAACTATTTCCATGTAGCATCTGCAAGCCACCAAATGTTTTAAAAATGCACATAATTATGACTTGTTTTCATACCCTCTGTTTCCTATACGGAAGAAGTATATATCTGAATAATGGCAGACCCTGGGTGAAGGGTGCAAGAGCAGCCCTTGCCTGTTGTTCACACTTTGGGTTAGAGATTCTCTTCTGATGGCAGGGATGCTAGTCCCTGGCACCAGTAGTGAGGGGTAGGTGTTGAATTGCCACCCGCCATCCCTGAGAGTCCAGGCTATTTAATATCCTCACATTTGAAGTGATTTTTAACAACTCTGTAAAAACAGCCATTCCCACCTAATGTGTTTCCCCCGTGGCTTCAGCAAAGATTTAAAAATAAAAGGGAGGGAGGTAATAGAGAATATGTGAAAGATATGGAACTTACAAAAATGTTGGATGAAACCACAGGGAAAAGGAAGTAAATGCTTATGAGAGGTTATGGAGAAATGAAGATAAATAACATATCTTTTGATAAAAATTTTGTTGTAGCACGTTTGAGGGCTTTATAGTATTTTAGCTGGGCAAGAAACGCACATCAGGGTGCTTTCTCCCCATCTGGCATCTACTTGCCACATGAAGTTTCCTGATATTTCTTTTGACTTGATTTCCAGACGTCCAGCACTGTGGCTGTTCATCTACGAGAATTACCCTTTGGCCCATATAGAGTCTCATGTTATATGCCAAGGACGGAAGCCAGACCCTCCCCTGCTATTATGTCTAGTGCACTCAAAGGCTTGACTGAAGAAGTCTTTCATTTATGATTAGTTATTAAGTCTGTGTGCTTATTATTATTATAGATAGTCTTCCTCTACCAAGATGCAAATAATTATGAATGTCTGGTCATTCTGGTCCTTTAAATTCAACAGAGAGTTTCCCATCTTTTCTATTTCCTAGCAAGAGGTACTATGACATTGTGGAAAAAAAAAACTGAATCTAGGTATTGGTAGACGAGGATTCTAGTCCTGGTTCTGCCACGAACTAGCTGTGTGACCTTAAAGAAAGCATTTTAGTTTTCTGTACTTGAGTTTACTCAGCTTTGAAATGGAAGGGGACACATTTCGTGATCTCCACAATCCAGTCTAGGTATAAAATTTTGTTATTTTCTATATGCATGTTTAAATAGCCCTAAATTAAAAGTAGAAATATTTTCTACAGGTGACTCCTGAGCCACTAGCACTACTAATTTCAGCCCATGTTAGGAATACTCAGTTTTTCAAGCTCAGTCCAGACATTCAGAGATAACTGGACAGAGAGCGATCGTTTTCCTAAAGATGCCTTCATGTTCATTCCAGCAGACCAACTTCCTGATGATATCCAGTTCTTTAAAATTTACGACATTTTTTGATTTTAGTTTTTTAAGATTAATCTCAGAACTCTATTCATCTATTAATTAGAGGCATGGTTTTTAGATAAGGATGGTTACTTTTTATTCTGCCCCATGTGTTTACATTTTCCCAAATATTTCTTGCAATAATTTGAACAATACCCACTCTCTCTTTATATATATATACATATATATGTATATAAACTACTGTCCCACATTCACATGTGCAGAATGATAAAATTTAAAAATTTTTAAAATTTGAAATAATTTTTAAAATTATAAAATTTTCTGTATTTGTTTAGACTGCTTATTAGTTTATCTCACTAAAACACACCATAATATATATTTCCTTTTGTAAGAAGAAGAATTTGCCTTACATTTAATGAGCTCTAGTTGTGTTCTTTTTAAGCTATAAGAATGAGATGAGCCTATATCTTAATATTTTAAAAACACAATAATATACATATAGTTACTGAAATAGTCTACACTGTTTATACTGTAGTGTGAGTCTATATAATTAGTTTTCCATGGCTAGATAAGAGTGATGGAAATTAATTACATATTTACAAGCTTACAAGCTCCTTCACCGGTTGATTTGTGGGCAGGTAATTTTACTGTCAAAAACTAATTTGCTCATGTTTTTCTGATATTTGATGTAAAGCATAATTGATATTATTTTAGTTCCATCTTCTCTATTAATTTTCTCATTTGATGTGATTTGCTCCATTTTCTAATAGCAATTACTTGGCGAGCTGTCAGAGGTAACCCATATTTGTTCTCTCATGGCACTGCTTTTTAATATAATCTTTTGGATTCAATCTCTGGACTGAATGCCCTCCAAATGTTCCAGCTGTGCCTAGTTTTCATTTGCAGAATTCCAAAGAGACTAAATTTAGAGGAAAAACATGTAGGTTAAATTTTTAAGAACAGTGCAATTTTAATGGCTTTGTTGGGCTTGCTTGCATAATTTCCCCGCTGAAGCAGTATCTTACAAATCAGGAACTTAATCTCTAAATAACTTTCTTTAATCCTTGAGAATTTCTACTCAGCTTTAATGGCTAAAGAAAAGTGACTCATTCCAACTTAATTATCAATAGGAGAGAACATTTTCCATGGGGTCTAGTAATTCTGACTTCTTTCACAGAAAGAGAAAAAGCCAAAAAGAGAAAGAACTTTAAATATATTTGTGGGAGATAAAAGGCAAGGGTTAGGAAGTGACAGTTAGGGTACAAAAGTAGGTCCACAGCAAGGTGACCAGTCATTCCAGTTTGCTCACAACTGAGGGGTTTGGAGGGATTTTCAGTGCTGGAACTGGGAAGTCCTGGGAAACAGGGAGAGTTGGTCAAGATGTCATTATTGGATTTGGAGCTTCAGCACCCTTCGTTTGGGAGAAGAAAGTTCAGGAGTTAGTTCTGCCCTCCAAGACTTTCCATAAGTTGAGGGTGCATTGGAATCATCAATTCTCTACCTTCAACCAAACGTAGCCAAGGGACAGAAATAACGAAGGGAAGAGCTGTAATTGGGTGGTAGGTAAAGGAGAGTGAGGCAGATAGGGAGGGACATAGAAAAGTGTCAAGAGTCAATGCAGATTCTGTTTCCTCCACACCAAGAATGACATCAGTTTCCACGGAAAAGCTGCCTGGATTGCTGTTTCAGACAGGTTGTAATGATTTGAGGAAGGCACTTTCCCCCCTTTCCATTCCAGGGGTGGGAAGCATGAGGCAGCAAGAGAGATCAAGAAAAGGGGACAATATGCAAGTAGATAAAATGTATGACATAATTCATGAAAAATTTTCATATGGTTTCTCTTTACTTTAATCAAGTATATATCTAAGCCTATTATTCTGTTAGGTTATCCTGATAAAGCTGCATTATAGAGCAATGACAGATGAATGAAATGAGGCACAGAAGATTTGGTGCGCCTGTCTTCAGTCTCTAATGTAACAATAACACAACCATACTCAGTTTTTCACATTATTATTTGATGGATAGCAGAACACTAGCTGTTCGTGTTTTTATGAAAGCAGAAAATGTGAGTCATCATGAAATGCAGAGCTGATAGTATTTTTTGTTTGCTTCTTTAAGCTTTAAAAACAGTAAACTGTGACACTTTTGAAATCCTGCTGTGAGAATTCACTAGCCCTTCATGAAATTATGTGCAAAGGACATTCTTTTCAAGGGAACATTGCATATACTTTAATCAGATGGCTTTGGTGTGTGCTAAGTGTTACATTTTGGTGATGTTTGCTGTATTTTGATTGCTTTAAATATTTTATTGGCCCAAATATAGGAACATTGTTTTGTGGGGAATAATAGTAATGATATTAAATGCTAATATATTATTGAATATATCAGAAATGTTTCTAGGTCCTGGATGCTCAAGGGGCAGCTGTCTCTCTTTCTCTCCCGTCTAACTCCGTGGCTCACCCTATGAATCTTAACCCCTTGTTCCTTCCCTTCCTCTCTGCCTCTCTCCTCCCTTTCATCCCGTTCCTTCCCGTATCTGGCAGCCTTATAAAAACTTCTTTCAGTTCCACTTCCATCCCTGCTTTCTGCCCTTCCCACCTTGTCCACCCCACTGGCTGGTGAGTGGTAGCTTTTAAAGAGACAGAAAACATCTAGGGCTCTTTCCCACACTAGTTTCCACAGGTGTTACTCATTTGCTGTGAAGGCCACTATGATGATGGTTGGTGTGCTGTTTTCTGAGTAGTGATTTAATTAAAAAGTGGTATGTCTGTGTGGTGTGTACTTTCATGTTTTTGGTCTCTGTGGAAATTGGGGAGGCCTCTTTTAAAATCAATATTACCTTATATTTGGGCCAATTTAGAAATGAAAAGTAAGTACTGTTCGAACCAAAAGACCAGATTACCAAAAGGCGTACTTTTTGCATTTTATCTGCTAATCCTGAATTGTAGAATAATTAAAATCATGCCAGTGCAGTATCTAAACTTTGCCTAAATTATAAGTCATTGCTCTGTATCTTTGATTCTACCAAAAAAAAAAAAAGAAAGAAAAAGTGCCTTTTGAGAATTTGGAACTTGTTACAATGCAGATATCTAGTAGTTAAAATTATTTTGTTTACAGTTTTAACTATTTGTAGTTTAATACAGAATATGCACAAATACTATTTTGTAATAGCCTAACAATCATGATTAAAAATTACCCAGGGCTGGCCCTGTGGTGTAATGGCTAAGTTCAGTAAGCTCTGCTTTGGCAACCGGGGTCACAGGTTCAGATCCCAGATGCAGACCTACACCACTCATCAGCCATACTGTAATGGTGTCCCATATACAAAATGGAAGAAGATTGGCACAGATGTTAGCTCAGGGCTGATTTTCCTCAAGTGAAAAAAGAGGAAGATTGGCAAAGGATGTTAGCTTAGGGTGAATCTTTCTCAGGAAAAAAAGTTACTGAAAGCTATTGTGTATTCTAGCAAAGTCAAGTCCCCACATGGACTTTTTTCTAACATATTCTTTTGAGTTTAGTCATAAACATTTAAAGACCATACCATTACTGTCACTGCTGTCCACCGCAACATTCCCATTTTAACAGGGAAGATTTCTAATTTTAAGAAATTAGCATTAAGATGATGGCAGAAAGGGTTATAAATTGAAAAAGTTAACATTTTTGAATTACTTGTTTATTTTAAAGCATAGTTCTTTTATCTAGTGAAATGTTGCCCCTCTTCTTGACAAATTACTTGGAAACAGCATAATTAAAAATACGTTTGAATATAGCATACATTTAAAATAAGTAAGTAATGCTTTGTGTTATTGATACTTAGACTTCCAATGCAATTAGAAGTTATTGTTAGTGAAAATTATAAAATAATCATAAATCTTTTGACCTATCCTGGTCTTGTGTGATTCCAAGTTCAAATCTAGTTTTTTTTGACATTTATTACTGTTATTCATCCTACTATTTGCTATTGGTGTATCCTTTTGACTCCTTAATTTACATTTTGATTTTGAACAAATATGTAGAATATTTAAAAGATGATTTTTAATGATCATTATATCATATAGGATTGGAGAGATGTGTGTGTGTGTATACGCACATAAATTTGCTGTGGATTTGCAAGTAAGTTTACAAATAAACTGCCAACAAGGTCCTGTCAAAGTATAATTTGTTTTTTCCTAGCCTAGGTTTATATTTTTACAGTTTCAAATTAATCATTTGTCTTTTTATAGAAACAAAGGATGGAGTATGGTCCAAGACCAACTGATACTCCCTCTGCCCCATCACCTCCTCCAACACCAGCTCCTGTTCCTGTTCCCCTTCCACCTTCCACTCCAGCACCAGTTCCTGTGTCAAAGGTCCCAGCAAATGTAACCCGTCAGAACAGCAACTCCAGTGACAGTGGTTCCAGTATTGTGCGAGATAGCCAGAGACACAAACAACTTCCGGTGGACCGTAAGTTTCCCAGGGAGGCAAAAAATATACAGTTTTTTCTGCAAGTTAAAAGCACTGCTAAGTAAAATGTTGTTTATTATTGATTCTACTGATAATAAATATTCTTTATACTTGCATCATACTTCATGGATTGCAAAGATTTTTCACCTAGTTTCTCATCCTCCAAGTAATCCTGAGAAATAGGAAATTCTCTCTGCTCTCTAATGTGTGTATTTCTACACATATTCCAGCATATTGTGGTGACCGAGTGTAGACCCTGGAACCAGACATACTTGAGTTTGTATGTATAGGGAAACATCACTTACTGGCCATGTGACCTTCAACAATTTAATAATTCTCTCTATACCTCAATATCTGAAAAGTGGGGGAAAATAATAGTGTCTACTTCATGGGATTAGATCAGTCATTCTCAGCCAGGGGTGATCTTACCCTCAGTCCCAGGGACATTTGGTATTGTCTGGAGACATATTTTGATCACAATTGGGTGGATGCTACTGGCATCTAATAGGTAAAAGCTAGAGGTGTTTAGCAATGTCCTACAATGAACAGGACAGCGCCCCGCTAACAACAGAACTATCCGGTCCAAAATGTCAGTGGTGCTAAGGTTGCAAAACCCTGGTTGATTTTGACTAATAGGACACAGTACAAGCAGTCAATAAATACTTGCTGCTGTCATCATCAGTATCATCATCATAGTTTTCCTGGTGCTCTTCCTCATATTTGCTATTCTCCTATACATAAACACAATCACACTAGCTTAGTATAATCAACCTGCCAATAGCAGTTTCAAATTTGCCCTCCAAATTCAGATTTCATGTAATTTTAGACTTTGTATTTTCATTAACTTAAATTTGATTTTTCATATGAATGGTTTTATGAAAACCAGATTTAAAGAAGCTAAAAGAAAATATGTGATGGCCAACTTTGGATTATCCTTCTTAGTACTAGGGAAGAGCAGTGTAGATAATTTGAAAACTAAAAGTAATTCTAAGATAACTTTTATTTTGTTTTACCTAATATGGCTAGTCTGTTTATTCATCAAATTATGTTATTTTTAAGTATTATAAAATTACTTTGCTGTACTTATACTTGGTATCTAAAAATTCTTGGAAAACTAGAGCCAGGAAGATAGTTCCTCAATATGATAAAAGTATATAAAGGGTGTGTATGTGTGTGGGGGTGTGTGTGTGTGTGTGTGTCTGTCTGTCTGTCTGTCTGTATGTAAAGGATATCTTTCATTCTCTCAATATGACCTCTCCTAGGGCCCAATTCTGAATTCTTATATCCATATAAACATACTTTTTTACGTTTAGATGATTTTTAGATGATCAGCATGTTTCCATTTTCTTTCAATACTATCTGTATTGTTGGAAAAGGAATGACTCCTAAATTTGTCTTCTTATCAGATCTCATCTCTGATATCCAGATACATGTATTGAACTATTAACTTTATAGGTGAGACTGGATGCTTGAGATTCAAGTTCAAAACCAAATTTTTGAATCTTTCACTCCCATTTTCACCTTACTGTTTTTATCATTTCAGTAAATCATACTCACATCTTTTCTGTTGTGGTCAGTCTTGATAAATGAAAATATTTAAAAAAAGAAGACACAGAAACTATTGCTATTTAAATGTCCTAGAAATTCTGGTTAAATGCATAAGTGCAAGTCTACTTTTATACATTACTTACTGTCCTGAAGTGTGGCCAATTTAAATCACCTTCTTATCCAGATCTTGACCTTACCAAAAGAACCAGTGGAAAAATGAAGTTTGCGAAAAATTAACAACTCTTTCTGTGTAGCAAAAACAGTTGTATGTGTGTGTTTAATAATGCGTGTGTGTGTTTAAATATAGTATGCTACTAAATTTTTAAAAATATTTGTGTATATTTTTAAAAGATACTTTTATTTTTTTCAACGACACTAAAGACTTAGTTTTGAGAAGAGAAAGTTCTATAAATGTTTTTACTGATTTCCCTAAGGAAAATTTTCCCCCTAGAAATGACTGTTCTTTCTTCATTCTTGCCACAAGTTTATAACATGTCCCTCCTTCAATACGTCAGCACAGTAATCTTTGACACTGTGGCACTCTTTTTCCAGGCCTAGGATCAGAGTTCATAGGCATCCAGCCCCCATTCGGAACATATCTGTGGGTTGGAACAGCTTGTTCTTTGTCCTAGGCTAAGGAACTAAGAATAACCTAATGGGAAAGAGGCATAGTTAGAATATTTTAAAGACACAGAACTCTCCTGATAATTGTGACTCATCATTTTCAAGTCTGTTTTTCATAAGTAAAATGGTGACATTAGTGTATAAAACATAAACGTCTCTCCCCAAATTAACACATGTACTTGTTTCCTTAAAATAATAAAATTTTGCATTTACTTAAAGTTCCTTTTAAAGATATTTCAGAAATATACTTTGATGTTAAATAAATATATTTCTTTTTATAAAACAAGTATTTTCTTTCTTAAATTAATTTTTTATGGAGGTAACATTGGTTTATGACAAATATTTTCTTGATAGCTTTTTCTTGAGCACTTTTTTGGAGAACTTTTTTTCTGAATGAATGTTGGGGCTTCTCAACAGTCTTTTAGAACCAAAATAGACGTGTTTCTTTATTGATAGCCAGATTTCTTTTAAAATATACCTATTATGCTACCTACATTCTCTGCTTACTGCCTAGACTTATGATAAAAATAAAATGGAAAGCACTGTAAAGTGAATACTCACTCATAAAAATGTTACCAGAGAGCCCTGAACAAGGGAAAAAAGTTGATATGCCTGTTTTTAAATTGTAGCAAGTAGCAAGAGCCAGACAGACTCCTTTTGCTGCGTGTAACTGTGCGTGGTCTATTCAGACTGGCTGCTTGGAGCCATGTGTCATATAAGCTATTCAAACTGACTTGTCGCAGAATTCGGAAAGCTTCTCCTCTTGTCACTTTTGAAGATACCAATGCTTTAGTTGTTTTGCATTTCTTCCATTTCCTTTGAAATGTTAGTCCTTTTATCTGAGTTGAATCTTTTGTAATCTGAAGTGCCATTTTAGAAAGAGGTGTAAAGTTAGTCTGGTTTGTTGTTGCGGCTAGAACATTGCAAATGGAAACCAAAAGCCAGGAGCACATTAGAAGAGGTTTTTGTATTCTCTGGAAGAAGATTATGCTGGACTAGAGATGATCATGCAGTGGCTGAGTCAGTAGATGAGAAGATAAATCTTTTAGTGTGGTGATACTTTTTCTTTTTTATTCCTTTGAGATGTACTCATATGCTATATGGCAGTCTGACGTAGTGATTTAAAAGAGTTAACTAATGAAATGCATATAGTGTATTACTTAAATTTCATAATCAATAATATTCCCTCTCACTCTCTCTAGCCCCCTCATTCTTTCTCCCTCCCACTCTCCCACCCCTCATCCCTCCCTTACTTTTTCCTATTTCTCTTTCTTTTGACTTCTTCAAAAGGTCTCCTGAACACTGAGGCATTAGAAAAAATTATACTGAATTAACACGATCTGATTATTTCACACTTTCACTTATTTCCCAGAAGTACCAAAGGCTTTCAAAAACACTCTTCCTGAAAAAGAAAGATCATGGAACAATGGTCACAAAAAGCTCCATTAGTGACCAGATCATCGCCACTGGTCAAGTTAATTAGTAATTCGATTACTATATAGTTCTTTTTACTTAATCCTTGAAGGTGATACACAAATAATGTGTCTGTGTCTGTGTGTGTACGTATATATATATTTTAAATATACAAACACATTATTCCCTTTCACATACATTCATTTCTTTCCCATTTTTCTCATAAAGGTATGTGCATCTTTCCCATAAGCATAAAATGGATAGGGGAGAAAGGATACTGGACAAGTTAATCAAAGGTAGTTTTAATGACTTTAGTCATAAAACAGCTGTGAGCTCAAAGTGAGAAAACGTAGTTCTAGCTAAATTCTACTATTAATTAACAAGGTGATTTTGACAGATCATGTCTCCTCTTTTGGCCTCCATTTTCTTACCTAGTTATTTTAGGGATTGGTACATGGTGCTTTCAAAGTCTGTCTTAGTGAAAAACTCAGAATGCCTCATTCATTCATTTATTCAATGAATAGTAATTGAATCCCTAGACTGTTTCAGGTGTTTAAGGTAAAGCAAACAAAGCAGGTAGAAATCCCTTTTCTCCTCAGGCATATACTTGAATGAAAGCAGATAAATAAAAATTAAGTTGGTAAAGAATATTAGAAGGAATTAGGTAGTTTGGAGAATAATAAAGCCATGTTGTGGAGGGGAGGATAGTAATTTTAAATAGGGGAAATCTAAAGGAGAAGAAGAGTGAACGATGTGGATATGTGGAGGGAGACATTCCAGGCAAAGGCTCTTCAATTTGAAGAGCACCAAGGAAGCCACTGTGAACTAGACTAGAGGGATCCGGGAGAGCAGTGGAGTTGCTCAGAGAGGTGGAGGTCATCTAAGGCCTTTTACTGGGAGGAACTTGGATCCTGTGGGAAGGTTTTGAGCAGAAGAGTTGCACTTTCTGACTTACGTTTGAAAAGGATCTCTTGAGCTGTCGTATTGAGAAAAGAATGAAGAGCAGGGTGGAGGAGTGGAGAGTAGAAGCAGGGAGACGTGTGAATAGGCTGGTGGCTCAGACCAAGCTGCTAACAGAAAAATGGAATGAAGTGGTTGGATTTTTGGTATGTTTTGATGATAAGACTAACAGGATTTGCTGATGAATTGGATGTAATCTAGGACAAAGGGGAATCAAGCATAGCTCCATGGTGTTTTGCCAGGAGAACTGGAAAAACAGAATTACCACTAAGTTGGGAAATCTAGCATAGAAGCAAGCTTCAGGAAGAAGATAAGCAGTTCAGATTGAGACATATTCTATTTGAGATACCTGATAGACCTCCAAATGAATATATCAAGTAGACAGTTACATATATAGGTCTAGAGTTCTGAGGAGCAGTCTGGACTGGAGAAATAATGTTGGTAGTCATCAGCTTTTCAATGGCATTTAAAGCCATGAGACCAATGATCATTGATGGAGTGAGTGCAGGCAGAGAAGAGATCCAAGGAATATGCCTGGAGCACTATGAGAAGATTCAGAAAAGGTTACTGAGAAGGAGAGGGCATTGAGACAGAAGAGTGTGGTGTCCCTGAGGCCACAAGGCACAAAGGGTTTCTAGGAGGGATAGCCTTCTTCACATGTTGCCGATAGGTTGAATGAGACAATGACTGGGAATTGACCATAGGAGTTTAGCAAAATGTAGTGGAGGGATGGGGCCAAAAGCCTGATTGAAATGAATTTAAGAGAGAATCAGAGAGTGGGAATTGGAATCAGCTAGCATAGACAGCTTTCACAGGGTTTCACTGAAAGGGGAGCAGATAAATGGGCAGTAGCTGGGAGGAGCTGTGGAGTCAAAAAAGGGCTTATTTAAAGGTGAGAGAAATAATAAAATAATAGCATGTTTGTATGCCAATGAAATGATTCAGTAAAAGAGGAAAACTGATAACATACGATAAGTAGGGGAGAAATTACTGTGAAAGTATTTAAATAGACAGAGAACATGGGGTCTAGTGCAAAGGTGAAGCATGGAAACAGGTCATCTCTAATGTATTAGGAAGGCTGGAAGGCAGAGAGTACGGGGAAAGTGAGGAGAACTGTTAGGGGAGCTCATGGAGGCTCTCTTCTAATTTCTTTATTTTATTCAGAAATTCGGAAAGTAAGATCATCAGCTCAGGGTAAGGATTGAGGAATAGGCATTGGAGGTTTGCAAAGAAAGAAGATATTAAATACTTGTATAGGAAAGTGGGCAGTTATATGGTCTAGGGCAAGATTTCTCAACCCGAGTCCTGTTGACATTTGGGGCCGGATAATTCTCTGTTGTAGGAGACAGACCTGTGTGTTGTAGAATATTTTGTGCATCCCAGGCATCTACCCACTACAGGATAGCAGCATCCTTCTCCCTCCACCCCCACACCCTGCCAAGTCGTGACATCAAAAAGTGTCTCCAGCCATTACCAGATGACCCCTGAAGTCAAAATTTCCCCCAGTGGAGAACCAGTGGCCTAAGGAAATGTAGTATGCTTGTCAGGGAGCGTTCACAGCCCAGTTGAGGTTCCCATTCATGAATTTAACATGAGATCATTCAGCATTGTTGTGTTGTCTTCAGTGTGCAGGTGCAGGCACAGAAGAAGCAGAAAGTTAGATCTAACAGGGTTGGGGTTTTGCCAGATGAGCACAATGAAGAGAGAGAAGAGCCAGGGAGTGATTTTAATAATTGATCATGGAATTTATATTGGATGAGGATGAAAGTGAGGAAAGGTGGTGGGAACACTCGATTGTAAGTCCTGTTGGGATCAGAGGATTATTGGCTTTGGGGTTCTAGAGAAAGTGACATATGTTAGAGATTTTCAAAAATAACCTACTCCATGTTGGTGTCTAGGAAGGAAATCTCAGATGGAGGAAGTGCAGGATGAGCTCATCCACAGACTGACCATTGGTCGGAGTGCTCAGAAGAAGTTCCCCGTGCCACGGCAGAATGTGCCAGCTGTCAATATCACTTATGACTCCACACCAGAGGATGTGAAGACGTGGTTACAGTCAAAGGGGTTCAACCCTGTGTAAGTCTTTCTGGGAATATGTTATAATTCTGTGTGTAAAACATGCATTGTTTTCTATTTGGTCACTAAGAAGTTACAAATGATTCTTAGAAAATATAAGAGCCCAGGGGCCGGCCTGGTGGCATAGCAGTTAAGTTAGCAAACTCCGCTTAGGCAGCCTGGGGTTCACTAGTTCCAATCCTAGGCACAGACCTACACAGCACTCATCAAGCCATGCTTCGGTGGCATCCCACACAGAAAAACTAGAAGGACTTACAACTAGGGTATACAACTATGTACTGGGGCTTTGGGGAGAAAAATCAAAAAGAAGATAGGCAACAGATGTTAGCTGAGGGCCAATCTTCCCCACCAAAAGAAAAAAAGAACCTATAAGAGCCCAACCAGCATTCGTTTGTGCTTGGGAAATGGCTATCACTATTTTCACTAAAAAGGAATTAGGAGAAGCAGAAGTGACTATCAATTGATGGCACCTCATTTTCCAGGGGGTCGTGTCTGTTCATCATTGGTCCCTAAAGCAAACTGTCAGCAGCTTCGCAGCCTGGTAGCTTGCTTGCTTCCTCATCAGGTGACCCGGGGTAGCAGTATGGTCTTAGCTAGACTCCTCAGACCATATAGGACATATAGCAGAATCTTTCCTTCTGCTGCCCAATCTAGATTCTCAGGCAAATAAAAAATAGATAACATTACCTATCATAGATTATAATCTAATAGAGCTTTTCCTTTAGTAAACCCACAGTAAAGATTCTATTTATGTATAATCTAAAAATTTGTAAACATTTTTTTGTATTTGATACAATGAATTATTTGAATAATACATATTCAAGAGAACTTGACATATTATAAACTCACTTACCCAGCAGGACTGAAAAATGAGGTACACTGGTTAGGCAATTGCCTGGTTACTAGAAAGTTATCTATTCCTTCTATGAAACACCAAATTTCAAAGAATTGGTACACAACAGTAATGATACTAAACCCAATTGGCTCATTTTTGATCTTCATAATCAGTCATCTTCTATAGCCTCAAAGTCATCATCATACAAGTCCCTTGTCATTGCCCTAAGTACTGTAGTATCGTTTTAAGAGTTCCAGTGTATGGAGCACCTAGAAAAAAAGAGGTTATAGCAGGACTGTGAATTTTTCTCTTCTGTTTATTCTAGATGCTCTTTTTAATGCTCTGTTTCTTTTTCCTTCTTTTGTTTTTTCAGGACTGTCAATAGTCTTGGAGTATTAAATGGTGCACAACTTTTCTCTCTCAATAAAGACGAACTGAAGACAGTCTGCCCTGAAGGGGCTAGAGTCTTTAGTCAAATCACCGTACAAAAGGCTGCATTGGAGGTATGACTTGTCAGCCTAGGGTTGTGTTTTTCTTCATTAGTTGAGAGTGTAGACTGCAAATTGAAAGCTCTGGAGACAAGTGTTTATGTCCGTATTGGTGAATTTCCCTTTCATACGAGCTGAATTAAGTTTGACTCAGCTTTTGTCATTTGTCCCTGAAGACCATCAATGACCATTTGCATGGACATTAATTTGTTATAAATGCTCATGTAACACGGAGCTTGAGCTTCATACACTTTTGGACATTTAATAAAAACCCTAATGTTCTTGTTTTATATGCGTTGACTACTTCTGTAAGAATTTTATTTTTGATACAGTAATGGACATTCACTTCTGAGTGAATCATTGCCTTAGGAGGCCAGAATTCTTTTGCCTGTCCTTAATATTTAGTGGGAGATTCTAATAGGTTAGAGGGTATAAGGTCTTAAAACCCTGGCTCTTTGTCTTAGGCCTGGTTATGCATCTAAACAATCAGAGGAAAAATATTAGGTAAGGATCATCAAAAATAGGGAGCCCTGAAGAGGAATTATGTAGTCATAGTTGTGTGTATGAAAGCAGGAGAGTAAGTGTTTTCTAGATTGGAGATACTTAAGCTTCCACTATCCTGATCTACTTGAAATGGGCTGTGTAAGTGGTAGTTTCCAACTGTTACATCTCACAGCTCTTAATAGCTTTCATGAAAATTATACTTGGACTCAAATGAAAGGGTAAAGGCTTTGGTGTGAAATTGATACATAATTATCTCTAGCAGGTATATTATATAAATTCAGCAGTTAACTCAGTAAAATAGCTTCATGCATACAACCCCATAACTATTCTCAGTCAGGAGAAGTTATATTTCCCTTGGAAATTTGTCCTACAACATTGGTCTTGGGGATTCTATATTAGGTTTTCTGTATATTGAATGTGAATAAGGATTATATCTTTTCTGAGGCAGTTTTGTTACCATTACGCATTCTAATTTTAGTGAGGGTATATAGATTACTTCTTAAGGATATGATAGAAAGTTCTATATTCTTAACATTTTTGAATTCCTTCGGTCCAGACTCCCCATTATTGTCATTTGCCCTCACCACCCACTTCCTCCGGATCTCTTGCTCCTGTTCCTCTGGATATGAACTGAGGCAGAGACTTACTGCCTGAGATTCTTCGTCTTCCTCAGCCACCTTCCCACCACATCCTTCTCTTGCATCTAGTTCATCTTTGAGATGATTCACCTGTGTTCCCAGAGATTCCCGTTGATGAGAGTGGACTAAGGAGGCTGCACAGGGATTATAGGCAGAGCTTGGAAAGGAGAAAAGCCAACATGATATCAGAGGATCAGAACTGTATGAGCTAAACTTGGTGTATTCTGAGCCCAGTGTTTGGGCCTGATTTAGAATCCCCTAAAGGCAGATAAGTTATCTTGCTTGACTAAAGAGGGTCCTTTGATAATTTACCATCTTATTATGCTTATTATACACATATCTTCTTTCACCCAGGGAGTCTAGAGCATTCCATATGCATTACTGTTTTATCTTTATCATGTTTAAATGGAAGGCCTGGTGAATGAATTACCTTAAGATACTTTACAAATGAAAAGATTATTAATGTGATACGTTAGTGAAGTCTAGAAGCATCAGTTTTTAGGTATAAGAACACAAAGGATGTTTACCCTGAGCCGTTTCATTCCATGACTTGCAGCTGCACAAACCAGTAACCATCTCATCTGAACCATGTTTATTTTTCAGGACAGCAGTGGCAGCTCCGAGTTGCAAGAAATCATGCGAAGACGACAGGAAAAAATCAGTGCCGCTGCTAGCGATTCAGGAGTGGAATCTTTTGATGAGGGAAGCAGTCACTAATTTGTTTATTTGTTTGTTTTTAAACTCCATTATTCTTGGCATTATTCCAACGTGCTTTGTTTTAAGAAGCCATGAAGGGAATGTGAGATTCTTATTTCTTGGGATACTTAACTTATTGCCATAAAAAAAACAATGCAAACATAAGTCAGCAGAGGACTTGCTTCTGGGCCCATTATTTTTATTAAAACTGAAAAATTTTAAAGAGAATCTTTTGACCTTGGGAAATATTTTGCCTACTTTACCAAGGTGAAGTTTCGTCTATTGGATTAAATATTTCATTTCCATCTCAATGCATAATCAGGCATTTTTTGACAGTGGTAAATTTATTTGTTGCAACGAAACAAAGATATTGCCCATGTTTATGGCAACAAAGCAAAGATATTGCCCATGACTTAAAATCTCAACAATTTCAGTTTTGCCTGTGATGATGGTGTCTGTCCTTCAGGGTGTAGCTTCCTTTAGGCTGCCTCTGCTTACTTAGATTGCTTCTTTGACATACTCAATGATGGAATATTTAGATTTATTTAAAGTTCTTAATGCCAACAGCTTAAAAATTTTAAACATTTAATGAACTGTAAAATACAACAAGGCCTTGGATGTGGAAATATAAACCTAGGGAGCATTCCCAAGACATTTTATTTGTCGTGGCTCTGTTGATCACAATTCCTTGTATAGCTTGTATTTTGATTTAGTTTATATTCTGCTTATTATCTATGCTGTGTTCTTATATATGAGAAAGCACAAGTGGAAAAGAGGTCATATACATTCAAAATCTGTCACAGGAAGTAGCCTGCATTGGTGTGCGTTACAGTATTTTGCTTAATGAAGGCCTCAGTTCTGAATATTGATATAAGTAGTTAAAAGGAAATTGAGACCATTTTATGTGTTTATCTGTGTCAAGTTTTTCTGGTAATAAGAAACACTTAATTTACACATATTTTAATCCTGTGAAAGATTCTAGATAGAGAAAAGAAAGATACTTAACCTTCAACAAATGTTATTTTTGGAAACACGACTTTTGTCATTAAATGTTATATTATTTCACATATATAAAGCAGATGTTATGTAAGAATGTTGTATATTTTAACATAAATCCATTTAGAGAGATTATCTAGATTCATTAATTTTCATAGTGCCTTTTTCACATGAGTCAGCTGGAAAGTCTGCAATAAACAGTATTTGCTGTATGTTAATAAATGGCTTCCGTCTCATTGGCATAAAGGATCTCTGGTATGTAGACTGGGGATCAGGGTTGAGTGGAATGGGAAAAACAGAGGCCCACTCCTTTTTTTTCCTTTAACTGATTTCCAGTGTATTACTGAGTGGGTAGAAACCACTCTGGAATACTTTCTTCAGTTGTTTCTCTTCTTTCCACCTCTCTTATTTCATCATCTTTTCCTTCTACCATCTGGTCACAGCAGTAAAAACAAATTTACACAGCACTTGTGATTACTAAGTGCTTCCACATAGCTGCTTTATTAGATGTCTACAGTAAATCTCTGAGTTGTATTTTACTGATGAGGAGACTTAGCTTTTTAGAGGCTGACTTTCCCCAAAGCATGAGGGATGTGGGGTCTCTTGTCTTCCATGTCTCAGTCTCTCTGTAACATTGCCCCGTGGACAAAGTGAAGCAAACATGAGAGTGATAAAGAACTACTGTAGATCTTTTCCATTTCATAAGCTCTGACACACATTTAGAACTTAGCCATTATTGAAAACCTCTGAAAACGTAGGGATAAGACAAAAGAAAATAAGATAGAAAAGTTAGAATAACCCATGTGTAATGTAGCATTTCTGATATTTTAAAAATTGATATAATTTGTAAGTGTATCTTTATGCTATAAAATTCCAAAGGAAATATCACAGAGATAGTAATTGCAGGAAGCAGTTACCTCCCTAAGAGCTATGGGGACAGAGAGAAGTGTTGGGATGAACAGAATTGAAAAGCTTGAGGGAGACTTACTACAGAATTTGGATCCAGGCATTTGAGGAGTTTGGTCACTGGTACCTAGGAGTTGGAGGAAAGACCCCACAGCTCGTAAACAAACCTCTGAGAAGGGGGCACTGCCTAGCTGGTGCTGTGGCCAGGAATTCAGAAAAGAATTCAGCTAAGAAAACAGTTCAGCAAATCCATGGAGCTGAGACTCAGATCTCTGAGGAGAGCATGCCAGCCAGCTGGTACTCGAATTTCTGAGAGGACACAGGCTGCTTCCAGGAGTGTGGGGAAACACAAATGGGTCACAGGAACCTACTGGGAATCAGTTCCTACTTATAGAGTGAAGAACCATTATTAGGGTGAAGCTGACAGAAACAGGAAGTAAAACAGGAGAAAGCAAGTCCCTTCTCTCCCCCTAGCTTTCTGTCTCCTTGTAGCACACTCTTGGGGCAGAATCTTTTGGACACCCACCTGGCAAAGCCCCAAATCAAAAAGATGAAAATAAAGTAATGGGTTTGAAACTGAGAGAATAGCTCAATAACTAACCCATTCCAACTCTGGCTACTTAGCTACTATACTTACTCTTCTATACATATTTGAAATTCCATACCACAATAAAAAATGTTTATGCTTTTAGCTAACAAAATGCAATCATCTTTCTCTGTTAATTATACAGCATTTAATATAAAGAATTGGTTAAACAGGCAAAAAGAGAACACTGAACCATCACGGAAGTAGTAATAATAGGAAGCAGCTCCCACACCTTGGGCTAGGGGAGCAAAGAAGGTTTGGAGTTACCAGCATTTGGAAGCCTGGAGGAAGGGTCCTAAAAAGCTTGGACCACACCCTTGAAGAGGAGGCACTGTCTGGTGTTGGTGCTGATCCCTCAGGAGCACAGAGGAGAGATCCCCTATAAAGCTGAGACAGAGAGCCTGAAGAGAGGATTCTGAACAGTCGATGCTGGTTCCTCTGAGGGCATGAATGATGTTGGTTTTGAAAATGTAGGGGAAAAAACTAGAAACCAGAGTCACCTTCTGCTGCTGCCAAAGTGGAGATCTCTTCACTGGTGTTAAGCCACTTGATTGCGGTGTGGTCTTCGTATAGTTTTCTTCTTATTTCTTGTTCTTGGTATTCATTGAGTTTCTGGAACTGTGGGATTATAGTTTTTATTAAATTTGGTACCATTTCAGCCATTATTACTTCATTTTTTTCTGTTCCTTCCTTGGGAAACGCCAATGTCCTATGTATTAGGCCATTTGAAGTTTTCCCAAGCTCACTGATGCTCTGTTAATTTTTTACCCAATCTTTTTTTCTCTCTATTTCATTTTGGGTAGTTTCCATTGCTGTCTTCAAGTTCACTACTTTTTCTTCTGCGATTTCTAATCTGCTTTTAATCTCTACCATGATATTTTTCATCTCAGACCTTAGAGTTTACATCTCTGGAAGTTTGACTTTTTTAACATCTTCCATGTTTCTATTTAACTTGCTCAGTATTTCTTCAACTTTATCAGTCATATGGAATACAGTTAAAATATCTATATTAATGTTTGTTTATTAATTCTTTCATCTTCATAACTTCTAGGTTAGTTTCATTGATTTTGTTTTTTCAGTATGGGTTTTATTTTGTTGCTTCTTTGTATGTCTGGTAATTTTTAATTGGATAGAAGACATTGTGAATTTTACCTTGTTAGGTGCTGGACACTTTTGTATTCCTATGTCATTGTGCTTTGTTTTGGGGTGCTGTTAAGTTACTTGGAAAGAATTTGATCCTTTCGGATCTTGCCTTTAAGCTTTGCAGGTGGAACCAGCATAGCACTTACATTAGAGCTAATTTTGTCCCTCTGTTGAGGCAAACCCCTTCTGAATATCCAACCTGTTGTTCCATGGATTATGTTTTCCATTCTGCCAGGTGGTAATAAGAACTATTCCTGGCCCTATGTGAGCTCTGAGAATTGTTCCTCTAATCCTTTCCGGTGGTTCTTTCCTCAGCCTTGTCCAGTTTTCTCATACACATGCACTGATCCATACTCACCATAAGACTCCGTGGGGACCCTATGCAGATCTCCCAAGCTTGCTCTTCGTGCAGCTCTCTCCTCTCTATTACTCTCTGCTGTGAACTTTAGCTCCCTTGCCCTTACCACACTCTAAGCTTTGTGTCCTCAACTCAAGGAGTCTTGATATCATCCCAAAGATCCCTGAATCTCTGTTAATATTTTAAAAATCTTTTCCCCCATTCTTCAGATTGGAAAATTTATGTTAATATGTCTTCAGTTTCACCAGCCCTTTTCTCCCCCTCCTGTGATCTGTTTTCTACTATGCTGTTAAGTCAACCCAGAGAATTTTTCTTTTCATTTACTGTATTTTCTAAGTTCTAGAATTTACATTTAGTTCTTTTACATAGCTTCTATTTCTCTGTTGAGACTTTCTGTTCACTCATTAAAATAAGATTTCCCTTTGGTTCTTTGAACAACTTTCTTTTATTTCTATAGTACATAAAGGCTAAATCCAACATTTGGGCCATCTCAGGCTTAGCTTCTATTGATTGCTTTTTTTCTCTCCCACTAGCGGTCCTATTTTCCTCTTTCTTTGCATATGTATTAATTTTTTATTATATGCTTGACTTTGTGGATGATACGTTTTAGATACTTTAGAATATGTTATCTTCCTTTGAAGACATTCATCCTTGTTCTAGCAAGCAATTCTATACTGGCTGATCACTTTGAATTTGTATAGCTTTGGTTTTATTCTTTGTTAGGATGGATCATGGCAAGCTTAATGTACTTTACAGGGTCTTCTTACTTGATAGGACTCTGCCTACGAACTCTCTCTCCTCTGAAAATCTTGTCAGAGCTTGCTTTTAGGCTTTGTCTGTACCTGTCAAGAGTAGCTTTTACTGTGAAGTCCTTACTTCTAAGGCATACCCCTTTTTTGGACAAATTACCAGGATTTTTGTGTCTCAGCTGGGTGCCCAAGGTATTAGAAGGTGTTAAACAGGTCTCTTCACTTTTGCTGCACTGGACTTCTAATGTCCCCCTGCACAGCTACCTCTGGTAGCTGTGTTTCACTCTCAACCTTGTAGCAGTCACTCTGTGGTAAGCATTGGGTGATGTTGCCTTATGTAAACTGAGTGGATTCACTTATGGATTTCTGTGGCCATTCTGCACAAATTCCTCCACTCTGGTGGCTTTCTTTAGAAATTCCAGCCATTTCCAGTGCCCTGAACTCTGATCTTTGCCTCCTTAGCTCAGCTGGACTAACTTGCTCTGTTTGGCTCCTGGCTCACTGCACTGCCATTGGAGAATTGTCCCCAAGTAAAGAGCCAGTGGGTTTCCTTATCCCAAAGATTGCAGTCTTGTACTGCTTATCAAACATGACCACTGAATTTTATCTCTTTCCCTTCCCCCACTTAAGAGGCACTCCAGTCACTTAAAAGTCTTCCTTTCATACTTTTTCCTAAGAAAATTTATAGAAAGATTTGAGATTCACTTGTTTTCTCCAATTAAATTGAAGAGGCTGCATTGGGGGTTGGATGGACATCTCACTAGGACTGAATCTTCTCACTCTCTTCGCAGTGCTTACATAAGGAGGCTGGAACAATACTAAAAGTCGTACAAACTCAATAAAGAGGTTTATATAAAGACTGCTTGTTTATGAGTAGAAGACAATGTTCGTTCAATAAACATTTCAAGTGTCTACTTTAAGAATTGTATATTCAAAGAGAATCCTAGATGTATCCTCTGCCATCCAGGAACGTCCAATGTAAAGAACGGTTTGCAGCTTGCCTCATTTATCCCTAGAGCTAGTCTTATTGATCTCCTGGGGCAAAATTATACCCCAAAACCCGCGGTGCTGCTTTCCCAGAGGCTTTGATTTTATACCGTGACATTTAGTTTTTCCCAAAGGGCATCCCTTTAACTTAGTCTAGTTAGAGATCTGTGTAAAGTTGTGTAAAGGGCCCCTAGCAATGAATTGAGAGGTGAAGGTAGTTACCATTCTACCACCCTTCCTTAGATCTTCTTTTCCTTCTTTAGAACAAAACATAAAACAACAAAACAACCACCACTCAAAAAGCTGTGGTTTCCATAGGCGACTCCCGGAGAAGGGTTCTATGTCCAGTGGCTACTCCTACACCTCCTCTCAGCCTTCTTTCCTGGCTTCTTTGCTCTTTTCTGTCCTTGGAATTGAGGGCTGGAAAGAAGCTGCAGAAGCCAGTGCTCTGAGCTTAGTTTTATGGGAAGTCCTCATTCTTTTTTTGGTGGAG